TAATTTTAGAAAAAAAAATTCTTATACCTAAGTTTTACAGAGATTAAAGAATATATTTTTTTTAAGAATATTGAAATTCATATTACAAAAATATTAATTTAGATTTACGAGTTTATAATCATTTATTTGCTGATTAAGTTGATGCTATATAGGTTAAAAAAAACAACTAAATATTTCATTTAAAAAAGATATCATAGTTCATACTTATTTAGAAAAATAATATTGAGTTAAACATTATTTGGGTTATTATGACTCCTTCTTTTCAAATTGAGAAGTTGGTTGGCAACAAAATATTCATAAAGTCATTTTGAATAATGGTAATAAGAATAATATCAAAAGAAGTGATAACTTAGAGGTAAATTATTGATAATTTAGTTAGTGATAATTTAATAGTAAATCAATCTTGGTTTAAAGTAATTAATTGACAGTAAAAAATCATAAATAACTTAGTGATAAATCAATGATAACTTAATAGTAAATAATTGACAATTTAGTAGTTAATCATTGAGAATTTAAAAATAAATCAATAGAGAATAATTAATCAATGATAACTTAATGGAAATTATGGATAATTTAGTACTAAATCGATAATAACTTTGTAATAAATAATCATAAATTAAGTAGTAAATTGATGATAATATAATAGTAAGTACATAATAATATAATAGTAAATAATTGATAATTTAGTAATAAATTATTGATATTTAGTAGTAAATTGAAATTTTACTACTAAATCACAACTAATGTGGTGGTAAATTACTAATAACATTGTTGTAAATCAGTGATAATTTAATAATAAATTAATTAATCAATGACAACTTTATAATAAATTGTTGTAATTTTATAATTAATCATCAATAACTTGACAATAAATCATCAATAATTTAATAGTAAATCATTTATAACTTAATGATAAATAATTCATAATTTAATGATAAATCATTCATAATTTATTAGTAAATAATTGAAAACATAGTAGTAAATTAATAGTAACTTAATTATCAATTATTGATAAATTTTTATATTTGAAATTATGAGGAATTTAAGTCTAGTTACAAGCAGAAATGAAATGAGAACTTTTAACCTGAGAGTTAGAATAAATTTATCATGAACCTATTTAATAAAAAAATTAGTAAAAAAATTTAAATTTGAATGAAGTAATACTAGTACTATATATATAAAAAATTTTATCTCATATTTTTTTAGTAGACTTTTTAAATTCTATATTTTATAGTTGTAAATGGATAACAACATAAATCAAGGATAGCTTAATAAAAAATGATAACTTAGTAGTTAATCGTTGATAACTTAGTAATAAATCAACGATAACTTAATAGTAAATAAGTTTTAGTTTAATAATAATTAATTGATAAATTTAGTAGTAAATCATAAATAATTTACTAGTAAATCAATTATAATTTAGTAGCTAATCATAGAAAACTTAAAAATAAATCAATATGAGTTAGCAGCAACTTATGAAGAACTTAATAGTTAACCAGTGATAATTTAAAAATAAATTATGGATAATTTAATAGAAATCATTAATAAATTGAGAATGAATTATGAATAATTTAATAAAACTTTGTGATAATTTTATAGTAAATAATAGAAAATTAAGTAGTATATAAATGATAATATAATTGTAAATGCATAATAACATATTACTAAATCATTGATAATTAATAGGAAATTATTGATAACTTAGTAATAGTAAATCACTAATAATTTAGTTATAAATCAATGATAATTTAGTAGTAAATTAGTTATTCATTAATAATTTTGAAGTAAATCATCTATAAATTAGTAGTAAATAAGTTATAATTTTATAATAAATCATCAATAATTTAATAGTAAATCATGAATAATTTAGTAATAAATCATTCATAAATTAATAGTGAATTATTGATAATTTACTAGTAAATCTTTGATAGCTTAGTAGTAAATCATTTATTATATAATAATAAATCAATAATAATTTAATTATCAATTATTGATAACATTTTTTTATATATTTTAAGATGTTAGGGATTGAATTTTGATTAGTAGCATAAATGAAATTAGAACTTTCATTTTGGAAGACTAAGACAAATTTATCATGAACTTATTTAATAAAAAATTAGTAAAAAAATTTTAAATTTGAATGAAATATTAATATTATTATATAAAAAAATTATCTTAAACTAGAATGAAATTCGCACTCTGCATAGGAATCAATTGTTAGATTTATGATGGCACAAATTTTATAAATAATTATCAAAAGTATATTATAAATTACCAAAATTATATGAAAGATTATCAAAATTACATTAAAAGATTATCAAAATTATATCAATGGTTAAAAAATCATAAATTACTAAACTAATATAAAAAATTACCAAAATTATATTAAAAATTACCAAAATTTTATTAACGGTTATGAAATTTTTAATAGAAAAGTAATAAAAAAAATCAAAGATTATTAAAATCAAAATTATATCAAAATTATCAAATTTTACTTATACATACAAAAATCAAAATTAAACTATTAGAATTTTATTATTATTATTATTATCTAAAAAATTATTTATTAAATTAAATTTTTAAAAATAAAAATTATATGCGCATCTTGCATGTGTCAAAATGTACCGATTTTTCATCGCAGCAGCTTGTTCGATAGACCATCAATCATACAAAACATGATGATGAGGATTAATATGCTTATTAGTAATTACATGCAAACGATTATGCGTATTAGCTTCGACCACAAATTTCAACCCTTCTTATGGAAGGCAAATGATTCCCCCAACAAGTTCCAAACGGGAACAGCAGCAATACAGCTATGCATAATGTGAGAGATTCACCAAAAGGGTTTCAAATCAATGTTTTGGTTTTCTCTGATAGGACATGTTTTTACCCGTAAAGTTGAAATTTGGAAGAGAGGGAGCAGCTGGTCACTGATGGATGCATCGTGGTGTCACAGCGTCGAAGTAAAAGAACGGCCATAGACTTTCTTGGACAAATTGGCGAGTGAGGGTGGACCGTGGACTCCAGTGAAAGAATTTCCACTACATTACTTCCTACAACCATACCAAGATACCTTTCATACACTGATTTTATGGGATTGGTCTGCCATTTTAGACTTTTTTAATTGATCACCACGTTCTCTCTTCCTGACGGCAAAAGAAATTGTGTAGAAAATTCCGCCTCCTTTGATTTTTAGCCCAAAAGTATCAGCGGATTTGTATGGCATATGAGAGTATTTTTCCAAAGTAATTCATTACAGCTACTGCTTGTTCACGGCTTTTGAACCCATCACCTCTTTTCAATGTAACCTTCCTAGCTTTTATCATCACATATAGGCATTTTCTATAGGGGGGGAAAAAATCTTTTGACGATTAAAATGGGGACAAGATGAAAAAAGTCTATGACAGACAGTACAGAATAAAAAGCACAGGTTTTTAACATGTTCTTAGTCTTTTCGGTGAAAATTCAGATAAATATATTCTTTAATTATTTGAGAAAATTTTGTGCAGATGATACGAATACATCAATTGTCAACTTTGCTTATTATTTCTTCCATAACGTTCTTCGAAATTCCAAGTATCCGAGGACGACCATGCACGGTTCAAAAGCAATCTAAATCAGCCGTAACCTTACTGACAAGAGTGAACGGGAAACGTTAAAGGCAACCACTACCCTTCAACAAAAACGAAAAAAAATAATTATTTTGTCACCGATTTGCCAAAATATTGTTTTTGGGGACGTGACATTTGGTTTGGGTTTTCGGGAGACTGATTGATAAACCAGATGATGAACAAGGCCCGAGGCTGCTATCTAGAAACAGAGATCAGCTATAGGGAAAACGGTTAGTAGACTTTTTCATTATTAGGGCCATACAAAAGTTCAGGCCCTCTCAACATGATGATCTAGGTCGAAGCTCAAGGAAACTGTATGGGCTCTAAATGTCCTCGGCTCCTGGAGTCATAGGCCCAAATACTAAAAGTCCAAAACATCATTCTAATAGCAATGAACAATCATAATACGTTCACGCAGAGATATGCATTTGTCAATTCATCAAATTTGATGACCACATTGTTTTGCAGTATAGATTAATTAAAGATGAGGCTAAGCAATTTTAAATACAGATGCATATTTTTAACTTCATGGAACTCTCAATTAGTTCATTTTTTGGTTGGTTTTTAATCCACATTGAGCTACCCAGAAAAGAAAGGGAGAGGTACCCAACACTTCCAATATGTGGAAAAAGCTTTGCTTGGTGGCAACACCTTCAATTTGAACTGTTGTAAATCATCATATTCATGCCTTTATTATTAAACATGCTCCTCCAAAAAAGCTTTGCTTGTTGGCAACATCCTTCTCTTTAATCAATTTGCCCATTGTTAGCTTCATGAATCATTGATATGCTTTCATTATCTTTGGTTTTGAGTACATGACTTGCCAAATTTTTGTTTTCAATGAAAATTCCCACAAAATTAACTATAAAAAATCCACCCAATCTCTCTCTCTTTCTCTCACTAATGCAACAAAACAAAAACAAAACTTGTTAAACGAGGCAAGCAATGAAAGATATATGGAGCAGGTGTGGCGTGACAAACTATCTAAAACTCATGCTTTCCTGCCACGTAATCATTTTTCAGTTTTGAATTAAAATCAATTAATTTTGTTTTTTGTAAACCTCGACCCCCCGAATCTTCTCCATCATAACAACCGCCCATTTTTTAATCAACGGTATTTACCCACAAAGATAAAGCGTTGAAACGCCAGCTCGGGAAGCATGGAATCGTCAACATCAACTTATGCTGTTCTTTGTCTATGTTTGGAGGTCCGAGAAACGAGCAAATCGTGTGCCTCGACATCATCTCATATTTTATCTAACCGTTAAACGCCAGCTGTTGAAAAATGAAGAACGGCTCAGATTTTAAAAAGTAAGTATCAGCTGAAAAACCGGATTATATAAGGTTTGCTGAGCTGGGCCCCACAGGGTTTAGGAAAATGACAGGTAGCTTTCGGGTACCTCTCTCTGTTTCTTCCTACTGGCTCTCACACCCTATATATTCTTTCTGTTTCTTTTTTCTCATCACCAACTTTCCTTTCTCTTGTATGCTTTTGCCTAAGCGGTCTCAATATTTCGGTGAGCATTGTTCCGACTCGATCCTCCATTTTCTTTTTAATTTTAACATTTTTCATTTTGTTTGGTATTATAGTATTTTATGCTATTTTGTTGATCGGATTATGTTGATGATTCTTGGAGGAGTGGAAGCTTCAATCATAAGTTTTTTTTTTTTGGCCTTTTGATGTTTCTACAATGATAGCTTTCAAGACTTTCATCAAATTTTCTTCGTTTTATTTCTGATCGATCTTTTTGAGTTTTTACTGTTGCACCGCACTGCTTCTTAGTAGTTTATTGTTTGTTTGGTTGCTAAATGCTGATAGTATTTAGTTAAGGCTTGAATGCGAAATTTCAGTAATTTTTATTTTTGCTTGTTTGCTGCTAAATGAGAGTTCTTTTTACTCATTTTTTTTCTTCACCGAATGTGGAAATTTTTTAATAAAGGTTTATTTACTAACTACTTTAGTTCTTTGCTTGACGGGAAATGAGGACTCAATTTGATTGAGCTGATGGGATTAGGATCAAGTATGAAATTTTAAGCATTAAATATTTGTTGACCTCTGTTTTCTCTTGTTGCTAACTGGCTATAGCAGTTTAAAAATGAAAGACCTTTATTTTTTTTTAGTTTTGTGTGTAGGAAACTAATTAAAACAGAAAAAAAAAAAAAAAGAATACATTTAAGGTGTTTTTAAAGTTACAAGTTTTTTATAACTTGCCGGGTTCAAAGATATGGCGGATGGTGTTGATATTAGCATTGCTTCATACATGCATATATTTCTTCTTTGTCTTTTTATCTGTTTTTCTAACAATTGAGTGGTCAATGGTGGTTTATAGGTTAATATGGGAACGACTGTCAATGTGGTTGTGCTGTCAGTGTTCATCTCGTCCCTGTTGTTTTATGTGGTAAATGCATCCAATGATGAATTGGTTAGAATTGGGCTTAAAAAGATAAAATTGGATCCAAACAACCGGCTTGCTTCCCAGCTTGAGTCCAAGGATCGAGAGGCTCTCAGAGCATCTATTATTAAAAAGTATCGTTTCCGTAATAATCTTGGAGACTTTGAGGAGACTGATATTGTTGCATTGAAGAACTACATGGATGCTCAGTACTATGGTGAGATTGGTGTTGGAACTCCACCACAAAAGTTCACTGTGATATTTGACACAGGCAGCTCAAATCTGTGGGTACCATCAACTAAGTGCTATTTCTCGGTGAGCCCCTACATTTATGTTTACTATTAATGTATAGGAAATGAAATTATTTGCCTTGATAATTGGAAAAGCAAACGTGGTTAAGGGCACAGGATTTATGTTTTTCCATTCCTGTGTAGGTTGCGTGTTTCTTCCATTCCAGGTACAAGGCAAGTGAGTCAAGTACCTATAAGAAGAATGGTATGTCTTCTACTTTTTTTATTGCACTTATAATTGTTTCAGAAACTTGTTTCTTCCTGATGTTAAGGACATAAGAACAATTTTTAAGTTCCTGATTTTATTCATTTGAATACTTATATTTGAAGTTTTAATTTTTCAAAAATAATCATGTCTATCTCTGATATTCTTGAAGGTGGTCCTTGTTGGGGTAGGATGGACTTAAGTGGGAAGGTGGTCTTTGCAACATATAACATTATGCATGCTTTTCTGGCTTATTATTAATGAAATTATAAGGCATGAATTTCTTTAGATAATGGTTTTCTTATTGGCTCACTTGGTATATAGCATTATGGTGTCTATTCATCCCATGGATGCTAAAATAATACAGAAGTTGTATTATCATATTTGATGTAGGGAAATCTGCTTCTATTCAATATGGCACTGGAGCTATTTCTGGTTTCTTTAGTTATGATCATGTTCAAGTTGGTGACTTGGTTGTGAAAGATCAGGTAAGCGGAGCTAATCTTCTTCTTAGTCATTTGCGAATGATCTACTAGTTTGAAACTTTGAATTAGGTAACCTAGTAAAATATTTTCATTATTAGGAATTTATTGAGGCTACTAAGGAGCCAGGTGTTACATTTTTGGCGGCCAAATTTGATGGGATATTAGGACTTGGGTTCAAGGAGATTTCAGTGGGGGATGCTGTCCCAGTGTGGTATGTTTGTGGTTTTAATTTTTATTGTCTATTTAAGATGTTTCTTGATATTATGAGCTTCTCATCGACTACTTGTTTGTCTTATAGGTACAACATAATCAAACAAGGTCTTATCAAGGAACCGGTATTTTCATTTTGGCTTAACCGCAATGTAGATGAAGAAGCGGGTGGTGAAATTGTGTTTGGTGGGGTTGATCCAAACCACTACAAGGGCAAGCACACATACGTTCCTGTAACGCAAAAAGGCTATTGGCAGGTTGAAACTTAAATTGTTATGTGCCAGATAAATGCTTTATATATATATATATATATATATCATTTAATCTTTCTCATTTTTCTTAATTATCTTTTCTTTGGGATAGTTTGACATGGGTGATGTTCTTATTGGTGACAAACCAACTGGTATGTTCCTTTCAATGCCTAGAGTACTTTTAAAGTGAGATTAAATAAAGTCTTGAGCTCTTTAATTACTTTTTTTTAAGCAAAAACATGTTCTTTGCACATATCTTTGTGGTTCTGACCTGGGCATACTCTATTCAGGATATTGTGCTGGCGGCTGTGCAGCGATTGCAGACTCTGGAACTTCTTTGCTTGTAGGTCCAACGGTAAGCTGTAATGTTTCATTTTTGGGTCTTTCGATCAGTCTCTTGTTTAACAGATTTAGCTAGTTGATTTTTAATCATTTTGACCTGGGCTTTAAATGTTGGCAAAATTGGAAAATTATTCTAGCTATGTAATAATGGTGTCTAAAGATAAATGTTAAGACATTCTCAAGTATTGTTCTTAAAGAGTGAGAATAATCACTTGGAGAAAGATTTCATATTGCTGATTAAATAATGCATAATGGTTTGTGTTACTTGTTAACCTGGTTATTGATGTCATTTCCAATTGTTTGTTTGTCTTGATTCAGACTGTGATTACCATGATAAACCAAGCAATTGGAGCCTCTGGAGTGGTTAGCCAGGAGTGCAAGTCAGTGGTTCAACAATATGGGCAAACCATAATGGATTTACTCATAGCTCAGGTGAATGCTACTTTCACTCTGAATGTAAATTTTCTTATTCATTTGTTGTAATCTTCAGCCGCATGATTGTTCTCAACTTTTTTACTTTGCTCCACCTAGTGACTGGCTTTTCCCATACTGTTTCCAACAGGCTCAACCACAGATAATCTGCTCCCAAATTGGATTGTGCACTTTTGATGGTGCTCATGGTGTTAGGTCAGGCTCTGAGGTCTTTGTGTGTGTGTTTTCACTAATTAAGATCTTAATGACTTTGTATTAAAGCTCTGAAGTAATGGTGCTCGAATATTTTTGTATAGCATGGGCATTGAGAGTGTGGTGGATGAGAGCAATCGGAAATCATCTGGAATTGTTCGTGATGCTATGTGCCCTGCTTGTGAGATGGCAGTTGTGTGGATGCAGAACCAATTAAGGCAGAATCAGACTCAAGAGCGCATATTGAACTATGTTGATCAGGTGACATGTGATAGACTTGATGCTTGTTGAATAATTTGTAAGTGCGTTCCTTCCAATGCTGATTCTTCCATTTGATACTTATTCAGCTTTGTGATCGAATGCCAAACCCAATGGGAGAATCTGCTGTTGACTGTGGAAGTCTTTCTTCCATGCCTACTGTTTCCTTCACTATTGGCGGCAAAGTTTTTGACCTTGCCCCAGAAGAGGTACAATCATCCTTATTTTCAGTTAGTAGTCTGTTAACATTCGTATCTCAAGGTTCAGATTCACACAGGTTCTCAATATGACTGTTTCAGATTGGACTATTATTCTTTAGTTTTCATTGTCTGGGATGACTTTTGCATCTGCATATATATATATATATATATATATATATATATATTACATGTTCATGAAATTGTCCTTCGTCAAAATTTTTTAAGTATATATGTATGATTGAAAACTTGTTCAACTGATAATATGTTGTGCAAACGCTAATTTTTCCCGGGTGGCGTAATCAGTACATCCTCAAGGTGGGTGAAGGCTCTGAAGCTCAGTGCATCAGTGGCTTTACTGCCATGGATATTCCTCCTCCTCGTGGGCCTCTCTGGTATTTTAGCTTTGCCTTAATACTTTTATCTTAACCAATTCTTGAACCATCTCAAGTCATAGTTTTTGGGTTCTCTCCTCACACTTTGTTTGATGCAGGATTTTGGGAGATGTCTTCATGGGTCGCTACCACACCGTGTTTGATTATGGTAAAATGAGAGTTGGGTTTGCAGAGGCGGCATAAAAAGATCTTACCATGGGGACCTGAGTTTTTAATGCGCATTCGCTATTGTGTTATGTATAACTCTATAAAGATGGTGGTAATATGAAATCACTGGTCTCAGCCTAAAACCTAAAATCGTTGTTGTGTTGCTTGTAAATATTGCCGTCCTTGCTCTGTTTTACCAACATGGTAGAAAGTAGGATTTGCTATAGTCAAAGTTGTGAAACCAGGGAAGAAGTATCAATGGTCAAAGATATTTATTAATCAGTTCCATATCCATTTCTTCTTGATTATTGAGCTTTATATTACTTGGGAAAAGAAATGTGCAATTGGTACACCATCCGGAAGTCTTTAGTCTTTGGAAACTTTGATTTTAGATTTAGTTCAGAGGTTCGTGTTTATCCCATAATAACCTCCCTAACCACCAAGAATTGTTAGGCGAGAGAGGTTTTGTTTAAACCCAACAGCCGGTATGCAACTAATCAAATTGCTTTCCGACCAGTATTAAACCTTGGCACTGTAAACGTTTGGTAATTGTCATACACCAAAAGGGGTCAAAAGATAAAAAGAAAGAAAAAACCTTTGCGGATCGTTAAATCCACTCAAAGGTATGGGCGGATGAGTAGGAAGCAACTTTCTGCCATGTCAGGTCTGATGTAGATTAAATCACTGTGAGAGTATAAAAGGCTTCTGTTTTTTTTTTTAGCGTGTGTAACGACTTCATGCGGTTGATGGTCAATATGCAAAACCCAAATTAGATAAGCAAGCTGTCCATGAGCATGGTCTAGACATAATATTAATAAATTTTTTATTCATTTAAGTTCGTTCAGCTCGAAATATATATCTAATTTTAGTGTCCAAGTTCGAACTATTTTTAAAAAGAGTTATTGAGACCCGTTCAAACCGATACATATTTCAATTTTAAAAAATAAAAATAATTTTTATAATAAATATTGATTGTAAAAAAAATAAATAATCAACAAAATAAAATTTAAAAATGATTTTATTAATTTAATTTGATATTGGAATGAAATTGATCCATATTGACATATGATACTAATGTGAACACATATATTATTTAAGAACATATTTATTTTTATGTAATCTACTTATAAATATAAAAACATATAAAAATTATTCAGATCAAATTAAATCGAATTTATACCTTAAATGTTATGCTCGAAGATTTGGATTATTTTTTAAACAAATCTAAAATTTATGGTCAAACCCGTTTAAAAGATCTAAAATTTATAATCAAATTCTTTTGAATTTTGGACAAATTTTTAAGTTTGAACAGATAACTCAATATTTGGACAAATCTATTTATAAGTGGACTTTTACCGTAAGATATCTATATGTTTTCATATGAAAATTACATCTCGTGTAAATAAATTTTTATATTTTTAGAAATTATTGACCAAAATTTTTCCCACTAGAAATACTATTCGACTATGCTCTGGTTACAATTTTTTTTTATTTTCATAAGTAATTATGATAAGAAGGTATTATAATCATTTTGATAAATTATAATATAAAGGGTATTTTTGTAATTATAGAAGGGATAGTATAATAATTTGATAAAAGATGGTAGGAGGGTATTGCATAATTATGGTTGTAGGGGCATTATAATAAATTTGGCTAATTATGATAAAAATGGTATTTTAGTAAATTATTAAGAAGGGTATTATAATAATTTTGTTAATCATAGAAAGAGGTATATTACAAGTCAATTTAGATGCATGTAATTTAATTGTCAAGTAATTAAAAGAGCTTTATTATTATTATTATTTTTAAGACAATTAATTTATATTATTATACGGATGTTAAAATTTAATGTGTAATTATGAGACAATCAAAATGGTGTTTTCCAAATTATGCTTAAGGGTATTATAGTAATTTGATCAATTATAATATGAGACGTATTTTTATAATTATGGTAAGAGAGGCAATTATAGTAATTTTAATCAATTATAATATGATGAGAGTATTTTCGTAATTATGATAAAAAAATATTTTCGTAATTTTGGTTGAATAGTATCATAGTAAATTTTTGCAAATTATAATATTAAAAGTATTTTTGTAATTATGATAGGAGGGTATTTTAGTAATTATGGTTAAAAGGCATTTTTTTTATTTTCATATGTACATATGAAGTAATAAAAAGCATATTTTCATAACAATGATAAGAAGGTATATAATAATTTTGACAAATTATAATATGAGAGATATTTTTATAATTATAGTAAAAGGGGCATATAGTAATTTTGTCAAATGATGGTAGAAATGTATTTAATTGTGGTCAATTATGGTTAGAGGGGTATTTTAATATTTATGTTAAGAGAGGTATAATAGTAATTTTAGTTAATCATAGAAAGAAAGGTATTACAATCAATTTGGATGTATGTAATTAAATTGTCAATTAATTAAAAAGATATTATGATAATTTCCTAAGGAAATTCATTTCATATTATTATATGATGTTAAAATTTAATGTGTAATTATGCAATAATTAAAAAGGTATTTCGTAATTATACTTAAAGAGCATTATAATAATTTTGATAAATCATAATATGTGACATATTTTCGTAATTACATTTGGAGAGATATTATATGAAGCAATCAAAATGGATTTTTTTTTTAATTATGATTAGAAGGTATTATAATATTTGTTGTCAATTATAAGGGGTATTTTCATAATTATGATAAAATAACATTTTTGTAATTATTATTAGAGGGTATGATAATAATTTTGACAAATTATAATATGATGGATGTTTTCATAAATATAATAGTAATTTTGATAAATTATAATATGAGGGGTGTTTATGTAAATATAATAGGAATGACATTATAATAATTTTGGCAAATGATTGTATGAAGGCATTTTCGTAATTATGATTATAGAGACATTATAATAATTTTGGCTAATTATGTTAAGAAGAGTATTTTAATAATTTTGTTAAGATGAATATTACAATAATTTTAATTAATCATAGAAAAAGAAGCATTGTAATTAGTTTAGTTGCATGTAATTCAATCGAAAAGAGAAACAAAGAAAAAGCAAAAAAAAATTTTGGTATAAGTGGGTCTCACACATAAATATACAATTTTTATAAATATGTATATTTTATAATTTAACAAAATTTATTTATTTTTTAAAAAGAAATAAGTAAAATAAAACAAAAAAAAAGGTACAAACACAAAAACAAAAAAACAAAAAAGCCGAACACGGGTTAACATGCGGCACACTAATGGATGAACACTATTCATCTATACATTACCAAAATTAATGTTATGGATTTATCCAATAAAAAATAAATACCAAAAACAAAAAAAAAATCGAAAAGAGTGAAAAAGAAAAGAAAAATATAAAAATGAGAAAAAAGCCTATAAAAAGTGTTACATTGACATCTAAGTTTAAAATATTAATTTATTAAATTAAAATAAAAAATAATTTTATTAATATAATATATAATTATGTGTAAAATTAAATAAATAATAAAATATAATTTTTTATATACCTTAAAATAGCTTAAGACAAATATCATAAATATGGTTTCGACTCCGAACTTATTTTTTAAAAAAAACTTAATTTGTGTCAAGGTAAAATATTACAAAATTTTATAAATATTTAAAAAGAAAAAATTATAAATAGAAAAAATTATAAAAATGAAAAAATGAAAAGAAAAAAAGTAACTTAATATATGATATAATATCGGTGATGGTGAGACAAAAAAAATTTAAAATTTTAAAAAACATTATTATAAATCTTTAAATATTTAAAAAATAGAAAAAATATTAAATAAAAAAAACAAATATGTGGCATACCAAAAATCAAATGGATCTTATAAACAAATAAACTAAAAATCTTTAAAAAAAAAGAAAAGAAAAAAAAATAAAAAGTTTAGTATAAAGTGGATCCTATTTTGAAAAATAAAATTTATAAAAATATTTATTAAGTATTTAAAAATCAAAAGATAGAGAAAAAAGGAAAAAAAAAAGGAAAAAATAAAAAAATGACACGTGGCTTGGATTCCGGTAACGTATCGTAAAATTTTCATTACTTTTTTATTTAAAAAGAGAAAAATCGAAAAAAAATAAAAAATAAAAAAATTGGCATAAGTAAGTCTCAAATATAAAAAATAAAATCTTAAAAAATATACATATATTTTTATAATGTTTAAAATTATTTATTAAATAATTTTTAAAAAATTTAAAAAAAACCTGAAATGACACGTGATAATCAGAGAGAAAACGAAACTGTTGACCACACGTCACTCGAGTGTGTGAAAACAGTAAATAAAAAATCTTATTTACTTTTTTATTTAAAAAAAATTGAAAAAGATAAAAAAACAAAAACAAAAAAAAAATGATATAAGTGGATCCCACGTATAAAATACAATCTTTAAATATATATTTTATAATTTTAAAAAATATATGTTATATTTTTAAAGGAAAAAATATAAAGACCAAATGGAAAAAATAAAAGAGGGCCAACCATAGCTTGACACGTGGTACTCCCAAATAAAAATATGTTTTTTGTAATTTTAAAAAATATTTATTATTTTTTAAAAGGAAAAAGAAAAAAATCAAAAAATAAAAAAGCCCAACCGTTGCTTGCCACTTGGCACTCCTAAATAAACTGTATGCCACTCGTTACCAAAATTTAATTTATGGATTGTTTACACTTGAAGAATATCTTCCTATAAATTTCCCATGCGAACTTTATGTGCGCTTATTTTGTACGTCTCTTTAACACTTAACGAGCAAGTATGTGGAATTGAACACATATCCCATTGGACTGGCCCAAAAGTAAACCCATATCATTGGCTCAATCGATTAAGCATTACCAGTAAGGCATGGAATTTAGACAACGAAAAGAAAGGTGAGGGGGAAACAGACAGACTGGGTCCCGGACCTTTTCACCGACAGCTGAAATTAAACCAATTAGCCGAAGGAATTGAATTGGTGGCTGTCACAACTCACATGAATGAAAGCAAAGCAACACTCTGATTGGGTTTTTTTGACGAAGGACGCCTATTTGAAATGCCAAAAGACACCCACGCAATGCGTCAAAAGTGTCCAACCATGAGTCCAAAGCAATCACGCTACAATAAAGATCATAACCAACTAATGACATGAATTGTGATTTTGAAGTGACAAGAAGGGTTGGTTCGAGAATATGAGCTGTGCAGGGCGGTTGGGTTTGTTAGGTTGCTGCCTTTCCTTCTCTCAACTAAATTCCAACCGCACCAATCCTTTTGCTTTTCGGAGTTTCTTACACAGCCTGCTCTTTTTGCCTTTTGGCTCTTGTAAACTTCACCCACAATCCAAGAAAACTAACTATATATCTAACAATTTAGGTAACTATCTTTTAGTCTTTCTTTTCAAGGATGCAAGAATTAGTCAACTATTGTTAGATTGTTGGGTGTTGGGTTGCAATCTTGTTTTTGTCAATTAGCAATTGCATGAACACGAACTTGATATACGTAATTCACACTTAGCAATCTAATGAAGAAAAATCTGATCATTTGGATCATGAATTCACGACTTTTAACTTATTTTAAAGATTTCAAATCTTAAATTTATTCTTCACTAGTTCATGAACCATTGATGTTATGTATGATAAGGGAGAGTTAACTTTTTCTAATTAGCCTACACATTTGTTTTATCATTAGTAAGCATCTAATTAAACAGCAGCTCTATGAAGTCAAGCACTATAGATTAGATTAAAGTAGAAGTTAAAGTAATTAATTACTGTTAAATTACTTAAAGGTAGGATTAGGAATATAGCAGGCCCACAACATTTACACCAATGAGCATTTTACAGGGTCCTCATTGCTACAGCTAGCACATTAGCACCGCACTCTACGCATGCGGCTCACGTGCGCATGTGACAGTAATATGATTCATGCCAAGATTAAGCAATGTAAGCAGCCAGCCGCCCAGTCGGCCAAAGCTTTTAATTCAATCTCCTTTTGCCATGTGGAACTCTCTGGTTTGAAGATAGAAAGAAACGGCGGTCGCCCATTGGCCACTAAGAAAAATGTGCTGTTAAAAAAGCATCCCTTTTCTTGTCTTGCATTAAATCCAAACCTTCAACAAACTAAAGCCACAAGATTTTCCATATAAATGCTTACCACCCAACTCACCAAACCATTCCAAACTTCGAACTTCACTTTTCCGTTTATAAATTTTCACATCCCCTTCTAAGTTTCCACATTACCAATGGACTGGACCCGTGGCAGAACCATTGGCCGCGGATCCACTGCCACCGTCTCCATTGCCACCGCTAACCTGTCCGGTCATGTCTTTGCTGTTAAGTCCTCTGAGCTCTCTCAGTCAGAATCTCTTAGAAGAGAACAGAGCATTCTATCTAAAATAAGCTGCCCTCAAGTTGTAGCATATGAAGGGTTTGACATTTCATCCGAAAGTGGTACGCTTCTATACAATCTTTTTTTAGAATATGCTCCCAACGGCACCATCATGGATGCAATTCACAAGCACGGTGGTTGCCTTGATGAAGCCATGGTTCGATCATACACTCGAGGAATTTTACTTGGCCTTGACTTTCTTCATTCTAGTGGAATAGTGCATTGTGACATCAAAGGTCAGAATATTTTGGTCACAGATGATGGGGTGAAAATTGCTGACTTGGGTTGTGCTAGGCGAGCTGATTTGGTGTCGACTGCCGCCCGCTCATTCGCCGGTACTCCTGTTTACATGGCACCAGAGGTGGCGCGTGGCGAGCAACAAGGATTCCCTGCTGACGTCTGGGCTCTTGGATGTACAGCCATCGAGATGGCTACCGGACGAGCCCCATGGCCTGATGTTGGCGATGCTGTATCGGCCCTGTACAAAATTGGATTCTCATGTAATGTGCCAGAAATACCAAGCAATATTTCAGAGCAGGCAAAGGATTTTTTAAGCAAGTGTTTGAGGAGAGACCCTGTTGAGAGATGGTCAGCAACCGAACTTCTTGCACATGATTTTGTAAAGGAATCAAAATTTCCAGTGAAGGAAACTGAAGGTTCTAAATTGGACACACCCAACAGCGTTATGCATCGACACATATGGGACTCGATGGAAGGGTTGGATACAATTAAGATTCCTTCCAGGAAAAGTTGTTTGACCAACAAACCTTTAATGAAAAGGATGCAGCAATTGGGTGAAGACAATCTTGTTTTGTTCTCAAAAATGCCCAACTGGGAATGGGATGAAAATTGGCTAACAGTGAGAAGCAATAGTAGTTTGGAAGTAGAAACGTGGCCTAGCAGACAGAACCATGTTGATGAACCCACCACAACTAGTTGTGGAGGATACAATAGCAGGGTGAGCAAGGATTATGATTTACTAATCGATCATTATCCCACAAAGATTAGCGAGCAAAAGACTGATAACTCTAGCAGTAATAGTGGTGAAAGTAGCTATAAAACTAGTTCATTGATATTATGTATAAAATTGATTTACATCAATGAGAAATATTACTTTTCTATGCCATTTTTTACTGCTTGCATTCTTTCCTACTATAAATGACTCCAACGAAGTTGTTTTGTTCGCAATTTTTCTGGGTGGTAAATCATTAGTTAAGTGCACAATTTAAATTCTATTCGTCCATTAAGAGCGTTATCAAGTGGTGATCATTGAGCAAAGGATTGGTTGGCCTCGTCCATTAATTCTTTCAGAACCAAGGAGCAAATTGGACATCTCAAGGAAAGATATCCAACCCACACAAAAGCCACCAAGCCTACTTCAGGGTCCAAAGAAAAAAAAGAAGCAGGTGCTGCTCCAAAGTCTTTTTTTCTATTAGACTGGACCTAGTGTCGAAAGACTGGAAAAAGACCAACGCTTTTCTGTTTACAATCCACAGTCCAGTCTGCTAACTGCTACGACATTCCCTTTTTCCTTTTCTTTTTCTCTGTCAAAACAAAAATGGCAAGCCCTAAAATCAAATTCCAAATCTGAATGATTATCAAGTCGTAATCTTTCATCAAAGGATTGGTAGTTTTTCCTATATTCATTAATATTTGGAGAATTAAGGAGCAAATCGATTAGGTGTTGTATAAATAATAAACATACGGACCCAAGGCCAAAGTGAGCTTTTTAATATTTCTGTGCTTTTTATTTTGTTGTTTCTTGGAAATGCTCCGTGACTTCATGCTATGCTGTTTTAATATTTTATTTTATGTCTTAGCTTTAGTTTTTGTAATGGTGGTTTCAGTGCTAATCAAAATACTGGTTTCTGTGTAAGGCTTGCAGTATCAGCCTTCTTGTTAAAATGGTGAAACTGTCGATTAAGACAACCTAGAGAGAACATGGGGATTGTCAAATTCTTTAGAAAAAGAAAAACATATAGTACATGTGAGAAGAGTATTGAACCAAATGTTAGGATACTTTTTTTATTATTGACTATTATCTAACAATAAAAGAAATTTAATTAAGAGTTCTCTCCCCAACTCCTCCTACTTACAAGCCTTTATCATTTTGCTTTTTGACTCGTCGTTTCTCAGTCAACTCTAGGGTCGCTAGGGTGGGGAGGGGGAGTTCATTATTCCAGTGCACATGCTTGCGATCTCTGCCCTTTATACGAGCTCGATTTTGGAGCAACCAACGCATCAACAAAAAAACGCTTGAGTCTCGAATTAAATCTATCAAAAGTTCACTAGTAAACAGAAGAATTATGGCCGGTAAATGAAATCACCCTTCTCATTCCTTAATTATAAATCCTCACTGCTCATTTTTTCCTCTCCCCGGAACAAATAATCTCTTTATCACCATCTCCACCTAAAAGACCATGGTCTTACTTGTGAGTTGAGACTCATGTATATAAATATATGTAACCTTTACATTTATTCAAAAAACTAACCTTTGGCAGTGAATTTCTGGCCTTTCAAAGCCGGAAATATCACTTAAGAATTTAGAAACTACTTATATAGCAATTAATAAAAGGCCTTTGATCTTGGTTAGAGATTAAGGCAGTAAAAAGAAGCAAAGTGAAGTGGATGCCACAAAGCAAAGAAACTTGAGGATCAGGAAAAACTATAATACTAGTATCTCTTATCTTATCAGCCCCGGCATGTTAGACGCCAATGCCTCCCACACCATTGCTTTATCGATTCCTTTTTGAGGAATTTGGTTAGCAAAACACCATCCATTCATGTTGTCCATTTTCTATTCTTCTCTTTAGTCTCTTATCCCACTCATGACTCATCTTCTAGTACGATATGCCCCTCATTTTTCATTATTATTATTATTTTATTATTCTCACCCATTAGCTTTTAGATTTGTTAGAACAAAGAATACATTTTACAATAAAAATAGCAAAAAAATACGACTATTCCCACCGAATTCCAATCACTTCTTGATGGCTTTTGATGTTTTCCTACATTCAAGAAAATGAAAGAAAAGATTTCTATTTCAACACAATAACATGAAAATCCTCACTCTTGTTAATTTTTGTTGTTCATATAGTTACATATGATCATCAACTTCTTAAATCAATCCTCAATGACAAAGGTAAAACTCCACTTAATTTCAAGTCTCTATCATTCCCAACGTTTCCTGTAATTTGTTAGTTATAAGTTCTTATACAAATATATCACATATGTTGGCCAGGGAAGACCCAATAGTTTTGTCTTTATGTATTATATATGCATAATATTTGGTATGAGGTGATAAGTTAAAAATTATGATGATTCGATTATCGTATTTAATAATCACTTAATGATCATGTGTAATAGTGATTTTGAATCATAAAAAGTGATTAAATAATTGTTTTGAAAAATAATTTAATTTTTATTTAAATGAGTAAAATTTTTTTATCAAAATAATAAAATAATATGTAAAATTAATACGTGAATTAAATTTTTTTTTTAAATTTTATTATTATTATTTTGTATTATAATTTTTAAATTGTTAATTCTCTCTCATCCTCTAAGATCCTATATAAACAGCTTCTAGCTAAAAGAAAGGGTAAGTCAAATGCAGTTCATTTAATAAACTTCAATTTTGTAGCCAAGAGGCCAACGCCAGATCAACCCTCAAACCTATAATTATAAGGTGATGGGAGAAATAGAACGCAAACCACCAACTGAGGTCATAATCGAAGCTTCCATCATCAATACTAGCCCAGAGAAGAAACACAGCTTTTCGATCAACAATGCTGCGGAGCCATATCCATCTTCCATCTTAACAAGGCTCCATGCTGGGTATTTTAGGATAAGCCTTTCAGTTGGTGGCCAAGCTATGTTATGGAAGATTCTGACTGAACCAAATGGTACTGTATCTCAAGATGTCTGGCAACTATTCCTCAAAGTCCCATCTTCAGTTTGCTTGGTCCTATGGTGCCTTGCGATTTTAACACAAATTTCACTGTCCTTTGTTTACATCCTCAGATGTTTCTTTCACTTTCACTTGGTGAAGGCAGAGTTCGTGCACCATATAGGAGTAAACTACTTTTATGCTCCTTGGATTTCATGGCTTATCTTGCTCCAATCTGCACCAACACTTTTTCCAAACACTAGTATTTACTATCTGGTCCTCTGTTGGATCTTTATTGTTCCCTTGGCAATGCTTGATATTAAAATCTATGGACAGTGGTTTACAACAGAGAAACGGTTTCTATCAATAATGGCAAATCCAACTAGCCAGATATCGGTGATAGGGAACTTTGTAGCTGCTCGAGCTGCAGCAAAGATGGGGTGGAAAGAGAGTGCAATTTGTATGTGGTCACTTGGTGTGGTGCACTATTTAGTTCTCTTTGTCACACTCTATCAGCGCTTATCAGGTGGCAATTCCCTTCCTCTGATATTAAGGCCAACGTTTTTCCTGTTCATTGCAGCACCGAGCATGGCAAGTTTAGCTTGGAACTCGATTACAGGAGCTTTTGACACCACATCTAAGATGCTGTTTTTCTTCTCTGTATTCCTCTTCATGTCTCTGGTAAATTTACGTTCATAATTCTTTATTTTTAGCAAGCAAACAACGTTAAGATGGATCTAAAGCTTCCTCATGTTAGTAAATGCAAAAATCTGATCTCTGCGGCTGATTAATTTTGACAGTTAGAAACATTACCATGTATAGCAATCAAACCAAACAGCAACATCAGTCTTAAAATATAGTTGGAATGAAGTTTAAACATTTATCGCTGTGACCGCTTTTTACAGGCTTGCAGGCCATCTCTTTTCAAGAAATCTATGAGGAAATTCAATGTTGCATGGTGGGCTTACTCGTTCCCGTTAACCTTCCTTGCCATGGCTGCTGCTGAATACGCACAAGAGGTGAAAGGTCATGTAGCAACTGTATTAATGCTTGTGTTATCAGCACTGTCAGTTCTGGTTTTTCTTGGCTTAATGATGCTTGCAGCTGTCAACACTGACCAGCTGTTAGGTAAAACTGATCCCATAGTGAGTTTTTCCGATAATCAGAAATCAAGTACTTGAGCCAGAGAACATGTGGAAGATGAAGCAATAATTGAATACAATTAGAAATGCACATCAATCAGGCAAATTTCCACGCTACTTGTAAGTCTATTACCAAACAATTTGTTGGTTCACAAGTCCATTTTCCTGGACTATACAAGTTATTATCTACGCATTCAGGGGGAGAAACCTGAGTCGCAAAAGTTTTCTAGTTTTCAAACTCTTACAATGTTTTCCAACATGTCGAGTCAATAGTCATCCATTCAATATTTCAATTCTAATGAAAACAAACACATCAAGCCCAAAATACAAAGAAAAGCTAATTTCCTACACCCTTTTTTTTTTTTTTTTTGCTTTGGATCTTTTTCTGTCCACACTTAAAATGATGCATGAATTACAACAAAACTGCAACCGACAAATCCATTACAAAACTCCAGAATAACTATATTGAAAAATGATAATGAAACTGAAAAACATTTTGCAAGAGGTGCTCAGTTCCTTAGGTATTCTTCTTACTACCTGAACGAGACAATCTCTGGTCCAAAGATTGCAACTGATTCCGAAGGTTTTGGTTCTCCTCAAGCAATCGGTCATACTCAAGAAGAAAACCTTCAGACTGTTTCCTTAAAGCAAGTGCATTAGCTTCTGCAGCATTCATCTCTTTTGTCTTTGTTTCAAGATCAGACTCCAGCTGCTTAAATTTTGCACGCAGAGTGGTTACTTCTTCCTCCAAGACCTTAACTTTGTCTGAGCCACCAGGTTTTCCATCCTCAAAACCGGGACCTTGCATCTTGACAGCCTCCATGTTCTTCCTTCTTATCCGGAGTTCTCTGATATAATGGTGTAATCTGTCTAACATTAGTGCTAGGAAAAGTGATCCTCCTGCAATAAGTTACCTATCATTAAAAATACAAGTCTAACAGACCAAAAAGAAAGTAACAGACAGCCCCATGAAATTCAAGCTGGACTAAGAAGCCAATACTAAAAATCAAAATAACAACTTATGGAAATCAATGTAAAAAGTTAAGAACCATCAAATCAAGAGAGCAAATGAAAACATGGCAGTCCCATATGTTTATATGAACGCAAAGAACAGGGTAACATTTGTCTGCTCCACCATCTTTGGAGATAAACAATGTGGGAGGATTTATTATTTTGAATGTATATATTGGTAGTTGGAAACACAAACAAATGGCAGTACTAGTAGCAACTGAATAAAAATTGAAAGGGTAATACAGACTACTGAGAGAATTAGAACCTGAGCTAAATCCTGACTTCACCTGCCTAATTGCATATTTCTTTCTTCAGCCAATTGGCCAAAAGAAGCAACTGAATAAAAATCACAACTTTTTTTTCCTTTGCTTTAAAATGCCAATTAGACAAAGAATTGGGCAAACAAAATCAGACAGCAAATAACATAATAATAAAAATTTCGACATGGATTTAGAATTTCATATGGTAAGATAAAACAAATTATTGTCCCAACAAAAGTGAAAAGTCAGGCTATTAACAATCAACGGCTAGATTTAAAAGAATTGAAGAAAGAATAAATTACCCATGAGAGTAGCTTCAAGAAGGTGTTTGGCCATGAGAACCTGGTCCGTTGGATTAGACGAACCATCATCGATCCAACGTTTCTGGATCTTCATCATGCTATACACGCTCGACATCATCACTACGAATACCGTTCCCGCCACCGTCTTCACCATCACCGGGCCTCGTCCCCTTTTGACCCGATCCAGAACCATTATCACCAGCTTCCTTAACGGTGTCTTGAATGACAATACCACGATCGCCGCAATCTCCGAGAATATCACCAGGAACAGTAACTGAATCATCTTTAAATTTTTTTTTGGTAACCCAAAAATCAAAAAAGGGTGAAAACTGAAAATGTCAAATGATCTCTTGCTTCTTATTGGAGGAGGAAGTTAATATTGTGAATTTGAAATGTACGGCATCAGAGTGAGATTGAGAGCTAAAGAAGGAGCAGGAGAAGAAGAAGAAAGCCAAAGGACTGCAATACTCGTTGGCAACGTCGATTTTGATGGGGTAAGCTTTTTTGGTTATTTTCTAAAAGGCCCCTTACCTTTTAGCTTATTTAATTTCTTTCTTTTATTTCTTTTTTAAATTAGGGACCTTTTACTTTATCTTATTACACGAAAGGCTGAAAGTGAGCTTTCGGCTTTTTCAACTTTCTTTTTTTATTAAAGAATTAGTAATTAAAAAAAAATTAACTAATAAAAAGGTGAAAAACAATTCTTGAAATGTAAGCAATCTTATATGTCCTCATTCCTCTACCTCAAACTCTAATCATGAGCTTGATTAAGGAAGTTACACAAATATATTATTATTATTATTATTATTATTATTATTATTATTAAAGGTTTTTTAAAAGGGAAATTTAGATATAATTTTAAAAAATGTCCTTAGTCATACTTCCATCTTTCAAGTTTGGAAACTCCATTATTGAGTTACTTCTCTAAAAGAAATGGTTATCTTCATTAAATATTGAAGTGTTATATGTATAGTAGTATTATTAGTTAATTAAAAATAAAGAGAAAAGAAGGTGATGATATTAAAAGGCAATGACCAGCCATAAATTTTGTGTGCATAGATCCAGCGGTTGAAGGCAACAACAAATCATAATGGTCAATCAATATTTCTTGCCTTAGATTTGTTAACATTATGAAGTGAAATAAACAAATTAACCTAACCCTTTACCCATAAAATAAAAATAAAAAACACATGATAGGGCATCTTATTATTATACAATTAACTTTTTTTTTATACAAAAAGTTATAGTCTGAATATAAATTAAAAGATTGAAAATATAAGAATTTAGTACTAAAAACAAGTATTAAAATTTAAATTTTAATCCCTAAACTTTTTAGTTTAATAATTAAAAATATTTAAAGGAACATTAAAGATTTAGTTTCGAATCAACCTCTCTTCTTTTGTTTACTTATATTAAGATTTTATCTTTATAATATAACAAAAAAAAAATTTAACTTTAAATTTATTATATATTATATTTAAAGAGTAATTATATAAATTAATTTATATTAATTATTGGGTTCACTGCCTAATCAATTTTAATCAAGCAAAAATGGCTGTTAATAAAAAGGCGTAGGGAAGGGAGAAAAAGAAGATCTTTGATTGAAAATAAGACGTTATCCATCGTCTAATTTCAAATCGTCTAAAAGTATAGGTGGTCCCAAAATTAATGGAGGAGCTAGGCCATGTGGGATGGGAGTCTGATCTCATGGCATTAGTGATTCTTATTTTGTTTAATCAAGCCGGGTAACCAGATCCATCATTGATGGATGCTGCAAAACCAAAAAGCGTATAACTATATGCAGCAGCACATCACTTTTTGCCTTACTAGGCCACTAGGCTTTCAATGCATCTATATTTTTTGCTATTTTAAAACGAAAATTCAAAGTTCAACCATCAAAACGAAACACCCATCTATGGATGTAATCAACTATAATGATGTTTTAAGAAAAGATTAAAATTTTTCCCTTTCATGTTTTGCACATATAAAAATAAACAAGGTATGAACATTGTCAATAATACAAATTAAGAATGCGAGGTTAAGTAGACTTTTTAATCACATTATCTTAACCACGTGTTTCTTGTCAAAAGAGATGTTCGTTCCATTATACTTGCTCACATTTTCAGGGTACTTAATTATTCATCCGTCCAGAGGAGTCCCAAACTTAGGAACAGTGAGGCCTTACAATTGGGAATTGTATATATGTGGACAGAAATTGTCATGTAAGAAGAACCATATATCAGAATCAGACTAATAATTTTTAAGCATGTTAAAATAGCTTGCTAGCAAATTCTTCAGTTACTTCCATGTTTCTTGTAGATGATGCTGCTGCTGCTGCTGCAAGATGATTGAGCTCTGATATGCTCCTTCCTAGCTGCAAAGCTACCTTCATTTCAAGAAGTTCTCCGTTTTCTCTTCTCTCCACATCTTTCTTATTGGTGTTTGACATTATGCTCTCTTCAATGAGCTTAAAGAAGCTGGCATTACTCCGATACATCTCAAACACCATTCCTACTTGGCCGCCATGTTCCATTGAGTTCACTACAGTTGCCATTGCACCCACTATGATTCCCATCATCTCAGGCCATGAAGAATGAGTAGTACCCACAAAGGAAGATCCCAAAGCCCCTAAAACGGTTAACAAGGGTCCAGAAATTGCCAAGAATTTGTTAAGTTTTAGAGCTTTGCCACCCAACCTAGTGTACTCAGCTAAATCTTTCTTCTCCAAAACTCCAACAACTTGTCTCATTTCCTCCTCCAGCTTTCTGTTCCACCCATTATTTCCCTCTATTTTCCCACCAAGTCCATGCTTTCGCTTTTGTTGTGGCCACCACCTAGCAGGTTCAACTTTTGAAGGGAATTTCTCAAGCATAGCATCAAGTAGAGGAAGTGGATATGCCTTATCAAGAGCTAAAACTTTGTCCATTGCTTCATTGACATCATCGATATCAGGTTTGCCAAGAGATAATGTTGTTTGAATTTGACCATGAAGCTGCTTGAATAATCTTGCAGCATTTCTCTGTTCTTCAGCAAGCTGTGATGGTTGAATCTTGTTCATCATCACCAAAAAGCCAGTGGCTGCTATGTAAAGCCCAGTAGAAGAGAGCTTGAGTGCCTTAAGGGGAGGCCCTGCTGCAATTGTGGCTTCGAGTCCAGCTATGGTGGCAGCAGTGAGAGTCATGGCATTAATAGAAGTCAAAAGAAGGTGATTCCAGTTATCACGCTGCTCTCCAATATTCTTATGCATCTCCACCCTATCCGCAACAGCTTCCATAATTGCAAAAAGCTTGGCAATCACCTTAGGATCAGAAGATTTTGTGTTATGTCTTGAATAATTCTGGGTTTTCTGGCTAGAAAGATTGGAATCGTTTTCCAGAAGGGTAGTGGTTGCAAGTGTACAACCATTTCTCCTTTCCGATTCCTCGACCAAACCTCTACTAGAGAGCTTTGGGAGAGAGAAAGTTCCCCAGAGAACCCTTGGTGCACTAATTGTTGCACCAACTATTCCACGACGACATTGCAACGAAGGCAAACTCTTTGGAAACAACAGGCTGCCTGCCATGGCTGTCGTACTTTGGCTTCTTAATATGAATCGTTTACGCTAAGGGGACTAAAGTGAATCGGCTTTGAAAGGAATGAATTCTATTTATATTTCATGCTAGGATGCATTTCATTGGAAAAACAAAGGGTAGAAAAACAAAGGTAAAAACAAACGATTAATCGTTGAAGCCGGAACGTTTGAACAAGATCTCTTGGCTTAGAAAATTAATTAGACCGCTTTCCATATGATGTTACGACTAGGGGTATAATATTCACAAGTTATTCGAATTCGATTTTAATAAAATTTGAATTTGATTCGATTATTATCGAGTCGAGTTCGAATATTTTTATATCTGATTCGAGTAACTCGCGAACTTAATCAAAATTTTATATTTAAATTTTTTTATTACTTTAATTAATAAAATATCTTAAATTTAAACTCGAGTTCAAATAAAATAATTGAATTTTTATCGAATATAAGAATCAAACTTAATTTTATATATTAATCGAATTTAATCGAACGAATTCAAATAGTTCAATTTTAATTATAAAAAAAATTTAAATTAAAAAAATAAAATTCGATCGAATTTAATAAATTAAAAATTAAATTCAAGCTCAAATTCAAAAGGTATCAATTCAATTTAGTTCGATTATACCCTTAAATATGACACCAAACTGCTGAGTCTTTGGCATCTTGTGTTTCCTTCGCTGGCTTTCAGCGGCGACAACGAGTAACAAACCTTGAAACTGACTACAGTGTCGGGACCACGGTCTTTTGTCTGAGCTCTTGCATAACTGGTCAGCATCTAAATTAGTCTAATTTCACAGAAAGTACCTACGCCCTAAATGCCAAAACTGGTGCGTGGATTGAAGAAACCAAAACCATGTTTAACCAATAGTAATATATCTTTAATGGTAATTTAGTCAAAATTTTCATGTTGTACACTATAAATTAATTCTCTACGTAAAAAATTCAGGCATAATCTTCAACCTAAATTTAATGATTTTAAATATAATATAATAATACAATAAAAAAATTATATATAAATATAATATAATTATATTTTTTATTTTAATCATATTAATATCGTTAAAATATGATATTATTCGTATCATATTCATATATAATAACAATAGCATACTTAAAATATGATATTATTTATAATATAAAAAAATTTAAAATTTTATTTTATTTAAAAAATAAATTAATAATCATATTTATCATATTATTTTGATATTTAAATAGATTATAAATATTTAATTTTTAAATAATTTTTTGTTTAAATATTAATTTAAATGATATTTTTTATTTAAATAAATAAATTAATCGTATCTAATTATATTATTCATATATAATTATATTAATTGTATTATGTTATGTGAGTTAAATATAAATTAATTTTATATTAATTATATCATATAGCATATAATACATATAATAAATATATTATATTTATATTTAAATTATTTATATCATTCATGTATTCACGATATGTTCATATCAAAATTATTCATATAATATTTAATACAAAATATAATATAATAATACAAATTATCATGTATACTTCAACATTACGTTCATTTTTACATTTTTTTTATCCCTTTTTGGCCCACTCGTCCCTTTTACTTGACAAATAACTATGTCCCAATTAGCATGAGGCAGACAAAAATTTGTTGAAAGATGATCAAATTCAACTTCCAAAACAAAGAAATCTTTTATGGTTAGAACAGGCTGCAACGTGGTCTTCGGCTGGCCATGAATGAAAGAGCTGGTCTAAATGAACCCCTACGTAACGTTGAACCCTGAAGCTAGGATTTAGATCAAATGCTTAAATCAGCAGCCTCCATCTAAATTCTATTCAAAGATTGCCGGTTCAGGATGGTACAATTCCAACAAAAACCTAGACTAACCAGTATTCACGACCTCGCTTTGTGGCTGGCTATCATGTTCTCATGTATGAATGTCCCAACGGTGCCCACAGGGATGCCTCGAGACTTAAGAAACATTGCTCATTCACGTCTCTTGAATGCAATGGATACTAGTTTCCTAACAAAGGGAACATATATTAGGCCATAACATCGTCATCTTGCCATTTCAATTAACGATTCAGCGCATGATTATGATGTAACATGTAAGACCGTGAAGAAAGCCCAGATTCTGAAATGTTATTGCTTAGCCAAACACCGACGTCAAGATCAAGCTAATAATCAAACTTTCCGCCAAGATACAAGACAATAAGATTTAACATTCAAACTTTCCACCAATGTACCACAAAATGAGATTTAACATTTATATTTATTAGCTCATGGTTGCACAGAATAAGCTTCAAGCTACATAAAAACGTGCTTATAGTATGGATTGCAGGGCTGGCATTATTAATCAATCCAAATGAACCGAAGGTGTCTGATCATTCATTTACTCTTGGGCAATGCCATAGATCTTGCCCGTAGATTCAGAAATATTCCCCTGAACAATGAATTTTAAAAGAATAAAAAGAATCACCTTGTTAGTAAATTTGTATATACTTCTGGGGCAGAAGTATAGAGGGAATGAAACAATGTATTTACCAGCAAAAAGCAATGAGGCTATTGAAAATGACACGGAACTGCAGTGGCACATATTGGTGGTTTATCCATCCCACAACTGGCCAGAACTGCAATTTCATTCAGTTAAGTTGTAAGTTATGTAAGTGCTCATCTTTTCACATCAATAACCTATTTACTCAGAATGGGAACATAGCAATACCGTCCATGCAGTCAATTGTACTTTGGGATACTCCTTCTTGATTCTAGTTTTCACATGCATCCAGGGTCTTCCTGCATTTCACATTTTCATTTAAACTATAAAAAAAGCTATTCCTTGTATCCACTGAGAAGGCAAGGAAACTAAATCATGCTCAATGCCTTCCTTTAAGTACTATATTTTCTAATATTTTTCATGTCTTAGATTATATGGCTTCCATCTGAAAAAGATTTCACCACAAATGTTAAACTGTCATTAAGTTATTTTCCAGAGAAACAATTTAGATTCAGTCTCTTTGCCCATCGTATAATCTAACATCGACTTACCCTCAACGACCACCCCATAATAAATCATGAAGAGCAAGTTGTTGCAAGGAGAAGATGTCAACTGTTCCAGCACAACCTAATACGATTTGATTCAGCATTAGACCCTTCATTATGAATCTTAGCAATAAGAATTGAATTGATCGATTGAATTCAATATGATATCCAAATTCCAATTCGAAGCAATAGAACCGAAAAGTGAATTTTATTGGATAATTGGAGAAATGAGCAAGTAAAATACCTTCTTGGCAACAGTTTTGGAATCTCTCTTCCCCTTGAAAATTTTATCGAGTAATATATACATGTAATGTCCAAATGGCCCAAGATAAGCAAATCCAAAGAGCTGCATTTAGCTATGACTGCTTTAGACAATGGCAAATACATAATATAGCAGATGTAAAAGGGAAAAAGGTTCAGAAACTAGTCGTTCTGATGCATTCATAGAAGCAAAAAGTTTCCCCTTCCTCTCATTAGCAACTCTTATTAGTGCCACATAAACAAAGTCCCAAATACACTTATTAGTGCCACGTAAATAAAGTCCCAAATACATTCTTTCCTAAAATATCTATTAACATAACTTTTTCATTTAACCCAAAGTTCTGAAACGGAGCAACATCTAATAGAAAGAACAAATCAAGCAATCAACCACCTTGAATACAATTAAGCAGTAAAAATGAAGGGAATAATAAACGAAATAAAGAGATGAACTTTTACCATTTTGAGAAGAATACGTCTCAGCTGAAGTCTGGGTATTCCAGAAAGCTTCTGAGAAACAGTGTCACTAATCCCTGACAAAACCGCAGCCGTAATTGCCTGCACCAGTTTTTGCAAATTTTGATCAATTTCAACTTTTTTTAGTCTACAAATCCCAAACCCTTTTTCACATGAAACAAAGAAAACATATAACAGAAAGGAAACCTTAGTTCTCAAAGGGTGATGTTGAAGCTGTAACAAGTATTTCTGCAATCCCTTCTTGGCGACCGAACCCATTTTTCTTTTCAGCTGATTAGTCTTCCTAGCTCCTGGCTCTGCCTTCAATCTATGCTTTTTTGGTTTCTGTTTGACTCTCGAGCAATACTGATATTTTCCAACCAAAAAAAAAAGTCAGAGAAAACTAAAGGGATGATTGCGTATCAGACGACATGTTCGTGATATAGCAGGTGGTCTGGTCGTGCTTGTAGTTTGATGGGCTGATTGTCCGATCGTTTTGAAGGGTGGTTAACTAAAATCTGTGATTAGATTGGTTAATCAACGGATGAGCATCTCGCTTAGCATATATACTTTTTCCCCGTTTTGTCCTTCAGCGCTGGGGGCTGCTCTGCTGTTGTATATAAGCTTTTGGACTATTCTTTATGTACGGCTAGGGGTATTTGGATTGAAAAAGGAATCCAGTTTAGAAAGTTTTTAACATTTTTTAATCTGCAATTATGTTTGTTTTAATTAAGAAATTAAAGTTCATTTTTTCTAATTTTTTTTTGTTTGTATTATATACGCTCAATTGCAAGTCTAGCCGTTTACACGTGAAACGAACATCATCTTTGGCTCTCATGGGCCATGATACACCCAAGAAATATATATATCAATAGTGGTTCCCCCGGTCAACTCCTTCCAATTAATAGACCATCTTTATTAGAGATCTTTCCATGGTCATATGCATGAAATAAAATATGGCCTTGGCTTTATTTGGTTTCATATATTTTATGTATTCGAGATTTAATTTAATTAATTCATGTAATCATTTTAAAAAATAATATTTAATATATTTAAAATTTAAATATCTATATTTATAATTTTTTATCTTATCTTTAAATTATAATTTTTTAATATTAAAAAAGAAATATGATTAACAAACCTAAAATATTTCTCCTTTGAATATAACATTCCAAAGTCCCAACATATCACAAAATTTTGATCCGATTTGCCTTTTTTTTTTTTTTTACAACTATTAAAACTGAAATTCAGCATCTTCTTCCTTTCCCTCCTCATACTTTGAATTGAAGACTGCCTATCTTAAAGATTTAACTTACTTTTTTTATTGTGAGTTGGAGTTATTTTTATATGGTCAATTCCATTTTAATTTAGGGAAAAAGTGGAAGGTCCATTTATTTTTTGGCAATAGGAAAGTATTAAAACACATAGTCAATAAAAATACATATATTAGTTCTATTAATTATACTGTACATGCAAGTGATTGGGGAATGGTGAAAGACTTCAAAATTCATCTGTATTTACGAAATCCTGATCAATATAAAGTATATAGGGAAGGCTATGTTGACCGAGTTGTCAACAACTATTGGGATAGAGATTTGAGAAAAATATAATAAATGCTTTCAAATTTGTACGAAAAGTCAAAACATGTTTCTACGACCCTGAAAATTTATTATTGTTAGCAATCGCCTGAATTTTCCAAATACATACAATGATCAAGTCATCTCATCCAATATGGAAAAAGACCCAGAGTATATACAAAAAAATAAAAAATAAAAATAAAAAGGTGTATACTATTATTGTAATATCTTTGTTCTGTTGAATAAGAAAAAAAGAAAAAGAAATTCATACACTCAAATGAATATTACAAAAGTCAACAAAACGATGGTAGTATCTAAATATAATTTACAACTACACTCAAAATAATTCAAAACTTAAATATGAAATATATAAGTCAAACTATAGAAAAAGAATTGTATGAGATAATTAGTTCACACCAATAGATATCTTTTTCATTTAAATCATATCATGTAATCATAATATAAAAAAAAATTCATCATTTATTACACATCGTACGTGATAATTAAATGATAAATATTTATTTTAATAGATTAATTAATTATTTTATAATAAGTAATTAATTTTTATGATTATATGATATAATTTTAATGGAAGTAATATATGTTAATTTGACGTAATTGTTTTATACAAAATTTTCTCTAACACCATATAGGTTGCTTTATAATGAAAAATTGAATGCAAAAAAAAATAAGAAAGATTGAAAAAGGTTGAACGCAAACAACACTATCAAATACAATAACACATGCATAATGAAAAGTCATTAACAAAACTTAAATTTGAGTTTGGAGATATAAATTCAAATAATCACATTTTTGGTTAATTAAATGCATCATTCATGCATGCCATAATGTAAAAATATTTAGTTCATTTTTTTAGTTTTTGGTGAATAATAAATATAGTTGTTTTGATCTCATACCACCAAGCATATTAATGACATGAGAAGGTTTTAATATGTTGATTGACATTTTTGTAGTCATTGTAATGCAATTTAGAAGAAATTCAAGTGCTCATATCATTATAATCATAATTGTATCATAATAATATTGTGATTATATTCTTTCTTTCATTGGATTTTGATTTTTACTTTGAATAAAATTTAAATGATTTTAAATTGATTTTTGACTTTCATTAATTAAAAGTATATATTTTCACTTGAATTTCTTTATTTTGAAAAAAATAATAATTATAGTTAAAGATAATAAAAGAAAGTCACAATGCTTTTTCTTTAACTTTTTAAATGAAAAATTATTTTGACATAATTAAAAATATGCAAATAGGATCGTATTTAGGAGACAAAGATATTTCATATCAATTATTTCCTCTATTCCATTTTCTTTGTTCATCTTTTCTTTTTAGATGTCCTAAAATTATGTTTTATTTTTTATATTTAAAATTTTAATTTTTTATATTTTAAAATTATATTTTATGATTTTTTTACTTTTTAACATTAAAAATTATAGAGCTTTAATTTCATAATTATTTTTAATTTCAATATTAAATATATTAAAGTTAATTTTTTTTCAATTTCGTGAAAATTAATACAAGACAGACAAATTGAGATGAGGAAGTACAATAATTAAATTAACAAAACATAATCTTTTGCATTTTTGACCGTATTTATGAGATAACCTGCCTTGCCAATGTCTTTCCACTATGATGCCAATCTTTATGAAATCGAGTTCTTACCTTAAGACGCCAAATCAATGAGCCCAAATAAGAAATAATATCTTTTATCTTGAAATTTATGAAGGCGAATAGGTCAGCCAAAGGCAAAGGGCTTAGTCAATTCAATCGGTCAGTCAATTTTTCCAAACTTGACCTGACTTCATCAAATCAGTTATCAATCGTTGGCTCGTCGGTTGCTTATAAATAAGCCTCCAAAGCTCCCTCAGCTTTGCAACATCTACAAATCTTTCTTTCCTTTGCTCAAAGCGCATATCTCGACGTTCTACTTATTTTCTCCTACAGACGATTCATACAAATTTACCAACAGAAGAGATCGATCTTAAAGAAAAACATTGTCACGTTACTCACGTACATGGCTTCTTTACAAGCTTCTAGTTGTCTAGTCTCTTCTTCTTCAAAGCAAATCCATGCTGCTATGTCGGTCCCTAAGCTTCCATCAATCCGATTTTCGGTTCCCAAAGTACCAACCCAAAAATTGTCCGAGGAATTGAATACTAGGGATGGGTTCATGAACAAAATCCCAGTTGTAAAGCTTGTCGATAGGACACCATTGGTTCAAGAAAGCTCATCTGTTTCAATGGCTACTGTTCAACTTTATGCTATCTTAGAGGCTGTTGTTGATAGAGTGGAGATGCACAAAAACATCGGCGAACAACGAGAAAACTGGAACACCCTTCTCCTTAACTCCATTAACATGATCACTCTTACTGCCGCAGCCATGGCTGGTGTTACAGCAGCTGGCGGCGCTGGGGTTTCTGTTTTGGGTTTGAAGTTGGCATCCACTCTCTTGTTCTCCGCAGCCACAGGAATGTTGGCCTTGATGAACAAGATCCAACCCTCACAACTTGTCGAAGAGCAACGTAATGCAACAAGACTGTTTAAGCAGCTTCAGAGCCAAATACAAACCTTACTTGCTGTTGGTTCTCCAAGCAAAGAAGAGGTGAAAGATGCTATGGAGAAAGTTTTGGCCCTTGATAAAGCTTACCCACTTCCCTTGATAGGTGTAATGCTTGAAAAATTCCCAGAAAGTTTAGAGCCTGCTCTCTGGTGGCCTAAAAACCAGTTTCAAAAAACAAACAAAGAAAAGCACTTCAATGGAAAGGCAGAGAGGAATGGGTGGACTGAGGAGCTGGAAATGGAAATGAGAGAAGTGGTTGAGGTGATTAAGAGAAAAGACAGTGAAGATTATGAAAGACTAGGCAACAAGGCATTGAAGATAAACAAAGTTTTAGCTAAATCTGGGCCATTACTAACTGGAATTGCAGCTGTATCATCTATCTTTATGGCCAGTACTTCCAATGGGACATGGGCAGCAATAGTAGCAGCTGTTGCAGGAGCTCTAGCTTCAGCTGTTAACACATTTGAGCACGCTGGCCAAGTTGGTATGGTGTTTGAGATGTATAGAAACAACGCCGGCTTCTTTAAACTTGTGCAGGAATCAATTGAATCAACTCTGGATGAAAGTGAGGTGGAGAAAAGAGAAAATGGGGAGCTGTTTGAAATGAAGGTGGCATTGCAATTGGGAAGAAGCTTGTCACAGCTGAGAGATGTAGCCAAAAGATCCAGTTATTCTCGTATAGAAGGAAGCCCCATTGATGAATTTGCAAGCAAGCTGTTTTGATCTTGGAAGATTCATGATTAGAAAATGTGCATATTACAAGGATTATTCTTTAATTCTTTGATTCAACCACTGATAATTTTTTGTATAATTTTGTAACATTATATATACATATACTTCATGGCTCATGCATAAAAATTATTCAATAATGTACATCTTTTTTTTTTCCCTTCCCATGCGCGTAATCTCTACTTTGTTTATGTCCATTTGGAGTCAGAAATTTTACATTTCAAAGTAAAAGAATTGAAAGTTATTGGCTGACGTAAGATCACGCATCAGGAAAGGTTGAGATTGGACGGTTTTGATTATCCCTAATAATATAATAATAATATTATTATTATGTTGACATTTTGACTCTTGTTCAATTACGGAGTAAGGAAACGTTGACTAAATTTGAAGGTGTGTTCAACATTGTATGCTTCGACTGGGTCCAAAATTTAAGCCCAACTAGTTATTTCAAAGCCCAGTAATTGTTGGACCATCCATCTGCTATGAATTTCCTCCGTAAAAACACCTAACGCTAAAGAATGCGTTAATCGGGCCATAAGTCCTCGTATATATCATACATTAGGTCTGATTTGGAAACCGATCGATGAGTAGAGTAAAAAATGTTATAATCAGTGGGGAAAAAAATTGTTAATCACTGAATTAAAGTGCCAAAATCTTTCTTGAAGTTAAAAATGAAAAACATCCACTCCATTAATCGTGGAGAAAAGTCGCCATTAATGATACTCCGTAGATCGCTAGCTCTCTCTCTCCGTTCTATACTCAGTTGAGAAACTTTTCTCCTTTTCAGGCCAAAGCCAATCCTTTGTCCTATTTTCTTTTGCCTCTAGGTTGTTTTCTCTTTTATTATTCTTTTTTTCTTTGGGTATATATAAACAAAAGTTGTGTTTATTTTTGAAGAAATTGATAGATATCTTGTTCAAATTTTGTTTCTTTAGGCGTTTTAATTGAAGACAGAAATTATGTGGGCAGTTTTGAGGCGGAGAGTTGCTTCTTCTTCTTCTTCAGTCAGTTTTAACTACTTTGTTTATTCAATTATTATTCTTTGCCATTTTCTATGTACTTTCTACAATGTAATAAAAAATTTGTTCCTTTTTTTTTATTGTTGGCCCAGCTAATATGCCAATCCTTCCTAGATGCTCGATCTTCACGATGTTACACTTCTACTTCAAATGAGGTAAATCTTCAATTCGAATACTATCGATTTATATAATTTGCTTCACATTACCCAGCTTGAATCTGCTATCACTTCCATTAATGGCTTCCTATTTATTTGTTTGTTTATACTCTATAGGCCTATATAAAGACTTTAGTTTCCAGAAAAGGGTCATCACAAATTTCAGGAATTGTTAGTTCTAGAGGTAATTGGAAATTGCCCAGTATCTATCTATCTCTTTACTTGTGAGCGGCAAAGAAATCTAGATATTTACTATGCTCCTTTCATTTTTCTGGGTTCATGTGGTTACAGGGTTTCCAGTTGGCTCAAAGCCTCTAAGGTTTGTTTATCATGTCTTCTGCCTCTATTTCTTACTGGTCTTTGTATCTTGAAACAATTTCCATTTCTTTTTATTGTAGTTTAATTTTTAAATATGAAACATGAAAAAGTAAATGCAATGATACATGAAGCAGCTTGTAATAAATTAATAAAACAAACAAGATATGTTCTACTGTATCTAATTTTGGTCTTCTGTTTCAAGTTGTACCTTATTTTTCTCCCAAATGTTTTTATATTATACAGGGAAGTTTTATTGCTTGTTCAAACATATCCTTCAATGTGTGTCCACACTAGATCATTTTCTGTTGATACCAGTAAGACATTTTCGTAATTCTTTCATGGTTCTATTTTTTCTTCAAGTTAAATATGTGTTTCAGTCCTTAATTCAAATGCTCTCTCTTGGCAATGAAGGTGAACTTGTTGACGCTGTTGTTCCTTTCATGGGGGAATCCATCACTGATGGCACTCTAGCAAATTTTTTGAAGCGTATGTTGTGCAACTGGTTATTATTCAACTTTCTTTGTCATTTTTTTCCTCCCTAAACTATTTTTTTTTTGTTTGAAAGGATGCAAATTATGTACTCATTTTTTAAATGGAACTTAGTCATCTTGGTTAGGTGTTTGTTAAAACTCTAATTCCTCTTATTTTTGTGATTTGGGAGCAGAACCTGGTGATCGTGTAGAAGTAGATGAGCCAATTGCACAAATAGAAACTGATAAGGTACTGTCAGCTAGGTGACATTCTTTCTAAGCATCCATCTCTTCAGTTTTGACCATTACTAGGTTTGCATCAACTGCAAATAATATTTTTCTTCTCTATTCTGAATAATTAAGGCTTTTTGTTTCTTATATGATGCAAATAGGTGACAATTGATGTAAGTAGTCCTGAAGCTGGTGTAATTGAACAGGTAAATATCAGATACATTTCAAGTTTGTCTACTTAATATGATCTTAAGCTAATGTTTGTCTGTTTCCAGTTGGTGGCCAAAGTAGGTGATACCGTGGAACCAGGGACCAAGATAGCTGTCATTTCAAAATCTGGTGGTGTAACTCATGTTGCTCCATCAGAAGAAAAGCCTAGCAAGACAGCTTCGGAGCTTTCTTCTGCAAAAACAAAGAAGGTAGAGACAGAGAAGCCTAAAGCAGAAACTCCACCGAGCAAAGAAATGCCTAAAGCACCTTCTCTGCCTCCCTCTAGACCTTCAGCTAAGGAACCTCAACTTCCTCCTAAAGAAAGAGAGAGAAGAGTAAGTGCCATAGGAATCTTATTTTTCTACTCATAATATTTCTTAGGACAAGCACATAATATTTACTAACCTTTTCTTTTTGCTGTCTATTGTACATCATCAAAGGGAAAAATTGCTGCTACTTTAACATCTTGCAGTTTCTGTGATTTCAGGTTCCTATGACTAGACTTAGAAAGCGTGTTGCAACACGCTTGAAGGACTCCCAAAACACTTTTGCAATGTTGACTACATTCAATGAAGTTGATATGTAACTGCCACCCTTTTTTATAGTAATGTTGTGGAATGTGAATTCCTGCTCTTCTCTTTGCCTAACTTTTTATTCTTCTGGTCCTTATGATTCTACAAGGCATAGAATTTATGCTGTTAGGAACTTATATCTTTTGATCATGTTTGAAATGGATACACATATTTTGTTGTGCTACTCAGCATTCACAGCTTTCTCATGTTATTTGAAGTTGGTAATAACTTATTTGCTTATTTGCCCCTCTACTTTGATGTATAATTCCAGGACCAATTTGATGAAGCTCCGGTCTGACTATAAAGATGCTTTTGTTGAGAAGCATGGAGTAAAGTTGGGACTTATGTCAGGATTTGTGAAGGTATCATTCACTAAGAGATGCAGATGTGTGTTTGCGTCGTTGTATGCTATTCAATCCTCATTTAAAATGTCTCATCTTCTTTCAGGCTGCTGTTAGTGCGCTTCAGAATCAGCCAATGATCAACGCTGTAATTGATGGGGATGACATAATTTATAGAGATTATGTTGACATCAGTATTGCTGTTGGTACTCCAAAGGTCTGTCACAATTTCAATCAATCGAGATAAAGTGATTTAATAATGTTGTTGGGATTTCTTTCTGCAGTAAATCTTACATTCGGTTTTCTTCTATTTGCATGATTATGCTGTTTATAGTTTTATGTGGTATCTTTCCCATGATAGTTGTAGAGGATTTCATGCCAAATATTGCATGGAAGAACAGTTAAGAAAAGAATGCTATCAGACACCATTTACGTATCCCAAGTTCTATTTGAATACAATATGCAGCTTCTTTGGGACATCTGAAGCCTTAAATGTGGTAAAAAAAACTTGGTTAAAGAAACAACTATGGTGAAAATTAAATTGTGTACAAAGTAATAAAAACTGTGAGAATTATGGTCTATTTACCTTAAAGTTCAATCTGGAGCTATATTTCTTGAGGTTTTAATTCAAGGCATTGCTATCATTCACTTCTGTTCTAATTTTTCATTGAGATCTTGGAAATGGATGCTCCTCATAATCTTGGAATTTTGTAGTCTCCTTAAATGATCCTTTTTCTCGGGTGTTTCTCATCTAGCAAAACTCATTCACTTGATAATTTAGTGTAAAGAATATTCTTCTTGCAATTTATCGTTGCTTTCCATATTCTCTGCCAGCACTCTACACCTTTTTGCTATACATGTGCAAAAGCCCTCAACTGTATCTTGGTTTCTTGTTCTCCATCTGTATCTGAAATTGGGCTGCCTCCTTTTACTTGCTTTTCCAGGGCCTTGTAGTTCCAGTAATCCGAAATGCTGATAGAATGAACTTTGCTGAAATTGAAAAAGAAATAAACACCCTTGCTAAGAAGGCAAATGATGGGTCTATATCAATTGATGAGATGGCTGGAGGCTCATTCACAATATCTAATGGTGGTGTTTATGGAAGCCTCTTAAGTACTCCAATTATTAACCCCCCTCAGGTGCGATTCTTTACAGTCAACTTGCTCCCACCCCGTGTCTAGTCAACACACACAAATCTAGCACATATTCTCATGAACTCATAGTAGTGAATAATCAGTTAAGACATTGTTTTCTGGGAAATAAGCCAATAATCTGTGTGAAGGCTTGTTTTATATGCTAGATCCTACATGTTTGTTCCAAGTCCTTTTCTACTAACAGTTGTCCTTTCTGACTTTATTAGTCGGCTATCCTGGGCATGCACTCCTTAGTTAGCCGTCCAATGGTTGTTGGTGGAGAAATTGTTCCAAGGCCAATGATGTACATTGCACTGACATATGACCATCGACTGATTGATGGAAGAGAGGCGGTGTTCTTCTTGCGTCGCATTAAGGATGTGGTGGAGGATCCACGGAGACTGCTGCTTGATATATGAGGAAACCATTTATAGAACTCTGATTTTAGCAGGGCTGGGATATAGCATGTATTTTCTTCGTGTAGAATAAATAGCAATGCTCATACTTTTTATTGGTGTCGAATAAATAGCAATACATTTTCCCTAGTGTTACTGACATGTTAAAGGGCCTAGTTTCATGTGACAGAAGTTTCTGTTGGTTGAATATTTTGTCCATAAAGCATCCCTTTTGTTTTGATTGATTTTCCTTTAGCTAATGGAGAAAACAAGCAGCTAAGTCAATGAATGACTAATCTTCTCAACAGTTGAAGATGAGGGAGAAAAATGGATAGGTTTTGTCTATTCCCCTTTACTATCTTACTATTATACAGTAAATCAACTTTTCTTTTTATAAAGAATAGCGGCTTATTTTTCTTTGAGACAATCAAACAAAACACTATGAGACAGAAAAGGAAACTCTTTAATCAATTAATCACCTATTTTTACAGATTAACGAATCAATCCTATTCCGAGGAAATTTTTGGCCGGTTCCAGAGCCACCCACCACATGTGCTTGGGTTAAAAACAATTTGTAGCAGTCAACCATCGACCTGGCAATGGTCTCATTTGCCACAATTCATGGAATCCAACCCAAACCTCACAAACTCTCCATTTCTTTCCTTTTTAGTAGTTAATTATTTTCTCCATATTGATATCTCTCAACTACATGGGTCCCCCAATCAGTTACTCGAATCCCGTGTACTCGTTTCTAAACTCAGTTCAATCACAGACCAATTACGTTTGACCAAGTTGGCACTGTAACTGGCTCCTCACTTCTAGGGGACCGAATTCTTGGGTCGCCACACTTTAACCTTCAACAAAATCAGAAACATAGACTAGATGATTCCTCGTCATGACAGGCAGCGGTTAGATAAAGTAAGTAGATGGGAGAAACAGTACAAGAGAGTAGGATATGAACTATGAAGAGAAGGAGACAGAAATTGGGAAGTGGTGAAATAGCTGAAAAGTCCTTAAGCACCACTCGCCGATGATATGGTTTTGTTGGCTATTTGTTTTTCTCGATTTGGCAGAGAAACCTTCCTCCACCCGCTGCTTTACTACCAACCAGCTATTTTTTTAATTCCAAAATATTATTTTTTATCCATGTAATTTCTTTTACACACACACACGCATATATATATATATATATATATATATATATAAAAGGCTGTCCTTTTTTATCTATTAGCCCGGAGTTGGCAGAGAGATGCTCTTTCGCGCTCTCTGAATTGCTCTCTTTTTGAAGAAGAAGAAGAACGCAAAGAAGGGTTCCTTGTAAGCTTTTTCACTTTTTGGTTTTCTGATATTGCAGTAATAGTTTTATGCCTAACAACTAGGTATCATTTGTTTTCCTTTGTGATGTTTTGAGGAACGTGATTGAGATCTTGATGACAGCATTGGTTTCTTTTCTTGTTTCGTTAAATAACCTTTTCAGTTCCGATCACTTGCATCTCAAAAACTTTGGTATAATGGCGTGGTTTTTGTTGGAGATGGTCTGATTATTTGTTGAATGTCTCTATTGGATATCTCAATGATGATTTTAGATCTTCTTGGGTTATCATTTGTGAAGAAATTTATTTGATGTTTTGGTTGGTAATATGGTGTTGGGTTGTAACATTGAAATTGGATCGACCCGTTGCGTGTGTGATTTCGAAGCCAGTAAGCATTTCCATTGAACTACTCCTCATCATTCACCACCCTTCCGTAGAAATAAAAGGTGAAGGAAATGTAGGCTTTACATGAATATAGCATGCTTCTATTTTGTTTGCCTTGTGTTTATCATGTTTTTCACCTTCGGCATTTTATGACCAACGTTTATAGTTGAGCGCCATATATGGCACAATGCTGTTAAAATCAGTTTCCCCTTTCAATTAGAACGCTCCAAACAGGATTTCCTTTACTACTGGTAGCTCTAGTTGTTTATTTTTTGTGTAAATCTCCTTGAACATGTGTTTCCTTTACGTATGACTGAGCATGACCTTGTGTTTCCTTAGACATGACTGAGCATACTTTCTTTATCTTCAACTGCCAAAATTTTGAAATGGAAAGTGAATGCTATTCTTAGTGTTACGATGTTGTGTTATTGCTTATTTCTGAAAGGTTACTCTTCATCAGATATTTCAACTTTAGATGATGAGGGGAAGCCTTTGGCAACTTGGGCAATCGATTACACACCGTCTTGCTCAGGCTGACAAGAAGGCTGTAGCACGTCGGTACTTTGCTTTGGAGGCTGATCTCAAAAAGACTGTTCTTTATGATTTCCACATTGCTAATGGTGGGAAGATGGTCCCATTTGCCGGATGGAGCATGCCCATTCAGTACAAGGACTCAATCATGGACTCTACCGTAAATTGCAGGCAGAATGGTGGACTCTTTGATGTATCCCATATGTGTGGGCTGAGCCTTAAGGAAAAGGACTGTGTTCCGTTCCTTGAAAAGCTTGTCATTGCTGATGTTGCTGGGCTTGCCCCTGGAACAGGAACTCTAACTGTCTTTACAAATGAGAAGGGAGGGGCAATTGATGATTCCGTGATCACCAAAGTGAAGGATGATCACATATACCTGGTTGTGAATGCAGGCTGCAGGGATAAGGATCTGGCTCACATAGAAGAGCATATGAAGGCATTCAAGGCCAAAGGAGGGGTGTCACATGGCACATCCATGATGAGAGATCTCTTCTAGCTCTCCAGGTTAGTCACTAGACTATTCCAATTTTATGTCTCCATGTCTGATTCTCTTTATGGATTAATTTTTTCGCTTCCTTTCAATTTGCTGGTGATTGTTGAGTCAAACATGCATACTTTCCTACTTTCTTGAGTTTTAGTCGCAAAGTTTGTCCTTAGCCTTAATAGTTTGGTCTGCTTGCATGGTTTTAAGGTTATTGAGAAAATGACTCGCCTGTAGCATTTGAAGTTTGAACTAATGTATTTTTATTATTTTTTTCGTTCAGCTCTTATTACTTCTGTTTGTAGTTTGCCTCTCACTATACATGGAAAATGTAGTATTCTTTTATCAATGACGGTAGATACGGTTTAGGAAGATGCAATTTGATTGAATTTGAACATAGTGGAATGTTCTCTTCAAAAGTTGAAGTAAATGTCTTCTCTCTTGCAGGGTCCTCTTGCTGCCCCAGTTCTTCAACATCTGACAAAGGATGATTTGAGCAAGCTATATTTTGGGGAATTCCGAGTATTGGATATCAATGGCGCAACATGCTTTCTCACTCGGACAGGGTAATCTTCCATTTGTTTCTTCTTGTTATTGAAAGAGATGGTTGGCATGGTGATGTTATCACTTGTTGGGATGCTATGGAGTATAACTGATGAGTAGTCTCTTTAATCTATTTTCCAGGTACACTGGTGAGGATGGATTTGAAATCTCAGTTCCTTCAGAACAAGCTGTGGATCTAGCTAAAGCAATCTTGGAGAAATCTGAAGGGAAGGTTAGGTTGACAGGACTTGGAGCTCGAGACAGTCTCCGACTTGAAGCTGGGCTGTGTTTGTATGGTAATGACATGGAACAACATACAACACCGGTAGAGGCTGGACTGACATGGGCCATAGGGAAGAGGAGGAGAGCCGAAGGTGGATTCCTTGGGGCTGAGGTAATCCTCAAACAACTGGAAGAGGGTCCATCAATCAGGCGTGTCGGCTTCACCTCCACAGGCCCACCTCCAAGATCTCACAGTGGAATTCAGGATGATAAAGGAAACAACATTGGTGAAATCACCAGCGGAGGATTCAGCCCCTGCCTCAAGAATAACATAGCAATGGGATACGTGAAATCTGGATTACACAAGGCAGGCACCAAAGCTAAGATTTTGGTAAGAGGAAAGGCCTATGATGGTGTTGTCACAAAAATGCCATTTGTACCAACAAAATATTACAAGCCATCATAGATCAAATTCACAGTTCAGCTCCATGATTTTCAGATTGTTTCATGTTTTTGAGTTGTTTTATTTATTTTAACCGCTGCCCGCAATCAATACTAATGTCCCCTCTTTTTGTATTTGCAAGAAGCTCATGACATTACTTGCTGAGTTTCTTGCTTGTGATGTGTTCAATCCTAATTATTGACTTCCAATTTTCTCGAATAGAACAATTCTAACATATCATCTATATATAAAAATATAAACTTTAAAAATATTAAAAATAAACGATATAAATATCATAAGAATTTTAAGAAACAACAAATTTATCTTTAAATTTTTAGCATTTGTATTTATTTAATAAAAATGATTTATCATTAAATATATAGCTTTTATTGGTTAATTATTTAAATTTAAATATAAAAGTAATAAAAATAAATAAGATAAATATCTTTATGAATTTTAAAAAATAAAAAATTTATCTTTCAAATTTTAGCATTTATTTATCTATTTACTAAAGATTATTTGTCATTAAATAGATAGCTTTTTATTTGTTATTTTTTTAAAAAATTTAAATTAATTAAAAATTTACAAATAAAATTTATATCAATTTAAACTACATTAAAATTTATCTGTGGGATATAAGTTTGAAAATTAACCCAAATTTACTTTTTATCTTTTTTTTTTAGAATTTTTTTGTTCAATTTCATAAGTAATAATTCAATCAAATTCATATAAAATACATTTATCATCTTATGGGTTGTGATATAATATAAGTTCGTGACATTTAACAAAATATAAATAAAATCTTTCTCCTATTGCTCAATTACTAATTGTTTTAGTATAAATTATTATATCAAAACGAGCATGCCCCTAAAACATTTAATTATATCTTAAGTAAAATATATAATTTTTTATTTTCAAGATACAATTTAATTTGCTCTTTATATTCTTTAATGGTACATATTATGAGTCTTTAAATATATTTATATTTTTCATTTATTTAATTTAGATTAATTAAAATTAAAGTTCATATAAAATTATAAATTAAATTATCGAAATATTATTAAGAAAGAATAATACACGTATTATATTAAGTTTGTATGTTTGATTTTTTTTTTTATGATAAATATACTTTTATATGTTTAACGATTGCAATTGTTGATTTCATTTGTTACAATATTTCTAATTACTCTGTACAATCATGTTTTAACATTACAATGTGAAGGATAATCTAATAATATAATGAAAAACACTATATATCAAAATTAATGCAAAAGATTTATTTGATTTACGGAAGCAACACCGATTTGATTCACTGGTCAAGAATAATATTATGCATCTGAAAATTGTCCATTATCTACAATGTAAATTCTTAAACATTGAATCATAAGATTTTTTCGTAGAGTTTTTTTTTTCTATGCTGATTTTTTTATTTTTCTCTCTTATTCTCTATGTGATTCATTACATAGTTTCATATAAATGAGAATTATCTCATTCTTAATTTAGATAAACATTTTCATTCTTGTGATAAAAAATATATATTGTAAAGAAAAATCAAGTTGTACTTATGAAATTTTTTATAATTTTATGTAGAATTAATATTTTAACAAATTCATAATTAAATTTAATAATATAATCGTATTTATCTAGTATATAAAATTTTAAATTAATTAGATATTTTTGTCACAGTTGAATGTAAATATTATTTTTCAATATATATTTAATATCACTAAATTCTTTATATTAAAAAATAATTATTTTAATTTATTTAAAATTTAACGTGTATTTGTAGGACAAATCATAAAATGTATTGGCATAAATAATAAGAAACGATTTAGAAAAACTAAGAAAGGATGCAAGTAATCTCTCGTGTGTGTATATATCAAGAAGAAAAATTAAGGAAAATAGAGTAAATTGGCAAATTTTCATGATCGATTCTCTTTCCTTGGGTCAAAAACAAGTTCATGAAAGGATGATGACAGCCAAAAAAACCGGCACCGCTTAGGGGATACGTCACAGTATTTTGTCATCTTATGGCAAATGAAGTTCCGGGTTCCGACATCCTTCTCTCAACTGAATTTTTATTCACAAGAAAAATAAAAAAAAATCGTTTTAATTACGTTCAAACAAATGAATTTTTGGGAACCATCCAAATAACTCGTGGCGTTAAGCATTAGTCTATAACAAAAGATTCTTCTTCATTTTTTTTTTGTTCACATCTGATTGTATCATCCCTTCTCTCCAAGACGACTTCATCTAAGACCATCTTAGGTAATATACTTAAAGCGTCTTCCTTTATTTTATTTTTTTTAATTTAAAAGTTTTCTGGTTTAGTTCTTGATCACTTGTATCCTATTGGATTTCAATTACCAACTTTTAGAAAGCATTTTAATCAACGAAGACAAGAATCGCTTATCGATGAAATGAATTGATAGTGAAGCTCACATAAGCGAATACTAGTAATTCCACTCTGTTTGATGTTTATGAATAACAAAGTCGACAGCTTTCGAATTTAATCACCAAATTTATTGATGGCTTTTTCTCAAAGCTCTGAAATCTTCTTGTTTTGATTGCCCGTATATGTCGGGTAGTTTAACTGGTATCATTTTTTTCCTTTTTTCCTCTTTTGAAGGCTATATATTAGGATGGTTCGATGATGTTAACGGTAAATGCTCCGGGACCCATCAGCAAAAGCCAGACATTTCTAGGCAATACTACCCTTCATGGTAAACTGCCTTGTGCTGCAATTTACCATAGCCTACAAGGGGTTCACTTTAATAATGTAGTTCATATTCATAATTCATTGCCCTCATGGAAAGATTCCAGTAAGCTTAGTACCCTTCTTGTATCACATCAAGTCGCTCCAAAGAGATGGCTGGTCAGGATTTTTGAACCTGAACTCTTTCTTTTTACTTCTTTTTTTTTTTAAAATAAAATCGTGTGTTTTACATGTTCGAATTATGATTTTAACTGTAGTGCCAATCGCATGGTTCTGTTTCATCTGATAATAAGTATCGTTCATCACGGAATATAGCAATCAGCTTATTTAGGCAACAGAGGAATGCCATTGACCGCGGAGGAGGTGACAACATAAAAGTATATTCAGTGATTTGCTTGATCTGTTTTTATGGAAAAGGTTGACAGATATGCAGCCTTCTCGTAATACTGTTGGATTGATGTTGTATCAGGAGTTCATCAGTGCTGGGTGAATGCATATCCGTTGGGCTGCACAGATGGACTGCGGAAAGAACTTGTTGCTATGAAGGAATCTGGGATCAAAATTTAAGAAATGCATAGTTATGGCGGAAGCACCAGTGTGAGATTCAAGATTTGTGCAGAGGAGGTGAGTGATCCTACATGTTCTAGCTTTTACATTTGTCCAAGAGATCCTTTAGTATACCGGCAATATTCAAAAATTTAGCTACGTCTATTTGTTTGAAGCGCTATAAACTCTTTCAAGGATTTTTTTGAAACCATCAGTGGTAAGGAAATTTGCTGCATGAAAACTTCCTACTTGACCATGCAGGTTAATGAGTGTATTTGATGGCTGAGCATTATATTCATTACCATTTTTTGTACACCACAGCCTACTATAGTTAGATGGTCATCTACACGTCCAGTGTCAGATGACACCCTGCATCAGTGTAAAGGCTTCTGTGCTTTCATAGCAAATGCATATTTTATAAGAGGAATGGCATGGTGAGATGCTTTTAGAATACTGGTTGAAAAACCTCCACTTTTGTCAAATGTTAGCTTTTGTATCTTTTATATGGTGTTTGAAAAGTAGATGCTAACATTTCTTTGGTCATCCTAGAATCTGCTGTGTGCATATATTTAAAAAGCAGAGTTTGAAAGATGCATTCTTACAGCTTTGCTAAAGGCTTCCAGTAAAAACTCTCCAGCTAGAGCAAATGGCTGTGGTCAGATGTGCCGAAGAGCCATCAGTTGCTAGCCAAATGCGATTAGTTTTTAACACGCTTGAGGTGAGTGAATTGTCAACGGAAATAGATGATGTAACTAAGGACTTTGAGCTCCAGACGGGCTTAAAAAGTTTAGGTTCTCAATTATTACTTTTTCTTGGTTGATCAATATATGTTTCAGAGTAAGCTTTGTCAATGATTATGGACCCTAAGTTAACAAATTGGTTAGATAGTGATCCATTAGTATAAGAAACAAATGCCTTGATAGGATAATAATATTTTTCTGGTTCAAAATTATGTTGGTGTTATCCTTTTGCATGTGCCCTCCCTATTATTGCTAATTGTTGACTGGTTTCGCTGGCTTGTGCAGTTAGTTAATCCACAGTGGCCAAAAGTATAAGTGCTTCAACGTTGACGAGATCTGATTTTCTTAGGATCCGATGTTGGAGCTTTGGTTCTTTTGTAAATTAATGATGCAGGAACATATAGAACACTGAAAAATTGCCTATATAACTTATGGTTTTTTGCTTCTCATTCAGATTGTAGAGACTGAGTCTAAGCTCATTGTTATTGCTACCATCGTTCACAAGACGGCCATGCATATATGTGGAGTGGATTTTAATGTGATAATTTTGATGATTAAGTAATATGGAAAAATAGAAATTGAAAGAAGAATTATTTCATGTGATAAATTTGATGTACTGCACATGATTTAAAATTTACTCAAAAAATTTCCATTTAATCAGTTTTCTCTTCAAACCATGAAAAGGTTTAAAATAAAGATAATGGAAAAAACATCAAAACTGCAAATGTCTAACATATACAGAAACTATAACTGATCTGGGGAGGTAAAATCTACAGCAGAATCCTTAAGTGTCTTCCGAGCACGCCAATAGACAGCAGCGGCAGTTTCTGATGTTCCCAACTGTTTAAGGAGTTGAAAGAAAGTGAGCAGCACAGAATACAAGTCGAAATCCTAGACAATGGTCAAATGAAAGAAATCACATTGAAGCTCACCTTAGTCTCCAGGGAATAGTAATCTTTCCATAAGCTAGCGTCCTGGTCATAAGCTGCAAGTGCAGCTTCATACAACTTTCGGGCGTTTGAAAGAGAAGCTTCATCACCAAGAGACGCGAGGTTTGACTCTAATTCAATGCAATTTCTATATAGAGCAAGACCTGGATGAGGTAGAGTGAGGAATCTACAATTTGAAGAAGATGCAAAGTTAGAAACTTCTAACATCAAGGAAGGATTTCTAGGCAATTTAGTCTTATTTTGCTACTCAACACACAAATGCAAGTCATTTTTTAATTCCTATGGAAATATGATTGAGGCAAAATGAAAGCACCCAGAAACTTTGACACAAGATCAAATAACATACCGCTTATACATCTCTCTAGCATGTTGAAGTCCATCCTTTTGAAGAATGAAATTAACTACAGCTGAAGACAGAGAAAATCCATTCTCACTGCCACCATATCTAGCTATAGAATTGAGAGAAAGCTCAATCAGCTTCTCAAAATACTTCTTCTGGTCTACAAAGAATTTGAGAGCCTGCAGAATGAGATAGCATTAAAACGGGGCTTTCATGCTCACAAACTTCATTGTCTTATTGTTTCTGACGGAAAAAAAATGAGGAAATAAAAGTATAAAATGCTCATATGCAGTTCACAACTTCAAATAATACATATTTCAAGTATAAACAATGCAGATGATAAAGCACAACTGAATAAGCAAATCTACTATGATCTTTTGCTACATTATTTAGGCGAATCACGGCTTCAGTTGCAGCATGAGGGAATCCAAGTTCACTCCACAAGGGAAATGATTAACCAATAAAAATCAGAGACTTTAGGAGAGAAAAGAAAAGCAAGAATAAACTAATGCTGAAACATACCATTAGCCACAAGTTTTCAGCTTCTGATATTGACATTTTTGTTAAAACGGTTTTGAGAAGTTCAAAGATGGATAATGCATCAGCCTTGCTAGGAGAAAGAGAATTCTTTGTGATACATCTAATTTCTACTGAAACCCTTAAAAGCCATAACTCTACAGAATCTGAAAGTTTTCCACTGCAAAGCTTCTGCGCTACCTTCTTGGCTTCCTCCAATCTCCCAAGTTGTTCATAAAATGAAATATATTGGCAAGCAAGTTCTTCCGTAAGACACCCCACTGTTTCAGCCGTCTCATAAACCTTCAAGATATGTGAAATGTAACTCGAGGCATGATCGGATAGGCCAGAGGCTTCCACTTCTCCTCTTTCAGAAGCAATGACATCCATCAAAAACTTTAAATACAAATCAAACATCTTGGCCGAAGGCACAATTTTTGTTGCCTCTTCATACAACTGCACATGGCAGAGAGATAATACAGTCAATATATGATTTCATAGACATGATTGCAAGAAATTTACTCGGTAACATATAGTTAACAGTTTCATACCTGAACTGCCTTCTGCAACTGAGAAAGCATGGCATCTTCATTCTTCTTCCCTGTAGGTGAGGCATCAGACATTTCAAGTCTTGCTAGCCAATCCCAATATTCCGGATCAGCTGAAAAGTCTCTCTTCATACCACCCAGTATCTCCTCAAGAAGCTCCTCTGAATCTGCCACCTCTATGGCTTCCAGTATCTCAAGAAATTGTTTCCTGAGGCTAAAACTAGAAGGAAGTGCTTGAATTGCTCCATTATATATAGTTTTAAGTATACCTGAAGCATGCTCCAAAAACAAATTCAATTTCTTCTCAGACTCTTCATCTGACCCATGATCATCATTTCCTCTTTCTTCATCATCAAGGGACATAAACAAATCTTTGTTTTCCTCTTTCCATTGCTTCTCACCGGCATCCTTCTGATCACGAGCCAAAGTTCCTTTATCCTCCCCAAGAGCAACCTTTCGAGCTTTTAACTTGTTAAGGTAAGTTAGTTCCATTCTAAGGTACTCTACCCAAAGGTCTTCTGAATTAGGACACATTCTCAAAGCACTCTGCATTAAAGCTCGAGCAGCCGCCACATTTAAATTATGATCAAATTCCCAAGCTGCCGCATATATCCAAACTCCTGGCACCTTAGGATGAAACCTAATCACTTGAGCCAAAACCTACATTTAAAAAAAAAAAAAATTAAAACAATCATTCACCTCTAAAAGCAAAACTAACCCCCAAAAATTATTCTTTGCCATTTTTCTTCACTTTCTCAGAATCCAAACAGGAAAAAAGTAAATAAAAGGTGTACTTTTTTCATTCGCCCAAATCGACAAATTTAATCAATTATTCACCCCCCAAAACCAAAATTAACCCCAAAAAACTATACTTTTTTTCCATTTCCTTAACTTTCACAGCATCCAAGCAGAAAAAATAGATAAAAGATGTACCTTTTTCATTCTCCCATTTTTTCTCTGCCTACAGAACTCAAGGTACCGAAACCAAAGCTCAATATCTCCTTTGTATCTCATCACGGCGAGTCTATATATCTCCATGATTCTGGAGACGGAGGCAAAATCGGAGACCGATTTTCTCGTCTTAGTATTCTTGCCTTGGCGCACGAGTTCACGAGTGGCAGCTTTCTTACGGAGTTGGCGAAGCGAGTCAAGCTGAGTCTCGTAGTCGATGTAGGCAATGAAATCTTGCTTGAGAGGAGAAGGTCGCTTGAGTCGATATTCGAACTTGCGGCGTTGCTTTACTATCTCGGCGATCTCGCGGCGAGTGAAGAGACCGCGCCGTTCGAGGTCGTCGAGCTCGTCTACCATGCGCTCCAGACGGTATTGAACTACGTCCGCCATTGTGTCTTCGTGTTGAGTCAATAGAGACGGTGTAACGCAGTCTGACTCGGTGTTTAGGGTTTAAGAAAGTGAGGTTTGTGTTATTAGGAGGCAGGAAACAAAGGGCTTTGTGGTTTGTAGACGGCGAGAGAGAGACGACATATTGGAGTTTGCAGCGGCATAGAGTTTTCTGAATATGGGCTGACTTTGGGCCTGACCTCAATCTGAATTTAGGCTTAGCCTAACCCAATAAGAATTTCATCGTTTTCTGTTTTCGCCCACGCCCTTTCCCGCAAGCCCTAGCCTCTTGATACATAATTCATCTCCAAACGAATAATTGCAATTGGCATAAGTAAAAAGACACATTTATCTCCAAACGAATCTCACTCCTAGTATTTGGCTTGAGATGAGAGTGATGAATATACTTATGGCACTGGAAAATCTATATTAGAAAGAATAGGCTATTCTAACTTGCTTTCACTTTGAAAATTGCTAAACATGTTTTTTGATATTTTAGCTGAGAAGAAAGAGATAAGGTGGAAAGGAAAGACAATTGTGACTTGCAACCAAAAAATATGGCCAAGGGGTACTAGAGTTGTTACTCTGGGACACACTCTAATACTTAAGTCAGTATGATACCTAATGTAGGTTTAGGAAGTAAGGAAGAAAATAAGGATTGTGAAGTGTGTGGAAAGCTTTTATAGAGAGAAAGTTAAGAGGATGATTGGTTTAGTCTATGTTACTTTGAGTATTTGATTTTTCACTAACATTTTACTTGAGATCAAGATGATGGCTTGACTGATATAGTTGACAGTTGATAAAATATCTATGTGGAGCTTAATAAAGGTCTATATGAGTGTAAGAAAATTGATTTTAATAATCCTAGGCAGGCATAGGTCACATTTAATGATCCCAGGAAAGTTGAGTGTTAATGGGTCAGTTTTGGAGTGATTGCTTTGACAAGTTATTGGTGGGGCCTTGGGTGAATCCTTCAATTGACTTAAACATAATAATTATCCCTCAGGTCTGAGAGGGTTATAAAGTGACCGCTTTTAGACTATTTTCCTAAGTCTGAAAAAAATAATAAAAAAAAATTGGAGCAAAAGTGCTTTGGTGAAGCTCTTTGTGTCTTGGAGAGCTTGATGTGATGACGTGTCTTGTTATAAGTGAGATAAGCATCTTTAGTGAGTGATTATGTTGAGATGTCCCTGTGGTTGAGGTAGATGTTTTGGTGAGCTCAATTGCTAATGTATCATGCTAGGAACCAGTGATTATCCTTGGGTAAGTTAGAAGGTTGGTAAAGTCACAAGGACTAGGAGGTGAGACTTAGGAAAAATTTTTTTACTTATCTGCAAAGCGCACGTGGTCAGAACATGTCTGGTGGGGTAGTGTGATGCATATGCCCGTGTTTTTGAACAAAGCGGCTAGACACACTACGTGTCTAGCTTTTGTGAAAGGTTGTCAAATACATTTAATGGGTGTGTTTTTTCAAAATGCACTATTTTTATGGCCATTAAATGGTTGCATTTTCTCAAATGCATCGATTTTAAGAGGTGAGTGAAAAGTCTTTCAAAGGGAATTAACGTTGACATCGATTTCAAGAAGTGAATTTATTTTTTCACCAATCTCAAGAGGGTGGTTGGAGAAGTATTAATGGTTTTGGATTTTTCACCCTTCAAAAAGCATTGAAGTGATCTGTATATTATCATTTCACTTTTACCTTTTAGTTAGGTATAAATAAGGGACTTGGCCTTCTGAGTCCTATACTTTTGCTTGCTATTTCTAAGAAAGATTTTTGTTTCTATGTTTCGTCTTATCTCTATGTAAGATTGTGAAAAAAAAGAAAGATGACTTTAAAAAGAATTTGTCTATATTGAGGGTTTTAGTAAGGATGATGAAGAAAATACTAAAAAAAACTAAAAAAGTAGCTTGCCGTTGAATTTGTTATTTCATCTGAGGTTGATTACCTCATGTATTGTAGTCAAACAAATCATACTAAACATGGCTCTTTGGGCTTTTCCATGGTTTACTGGAGTCTTGGAAGTTTATGCCATTTTACTGAATTTTTAGGTTTTGAAGCTTGATTTTGATGACATATGTGTTTTTGAGCTGATCAAGCACCCTAAAATCTTAATGAAGGAAGTAAACTAAAATGGTGGCTTCCATCCTTGAATATGATGATTACCCTGCTCATTGAGCTCCCTAATGGTGTTTCAGCGAGTGGAAAAATAAGAAAAAATCACCATTGCCACATGTCTAGTCTCATTCACCTTGAATGGATGAGGATGATGTTGGAAGAAATGGTGATTATACCAATTTCATATATTTTCTTCATACTATTCTCATTTATGACTAAAAAGGCAAAGTCCTAAAATGTTTGATAAAAGTTATTTCTGAAGGCTTCCATTTATTGAGTTTTGATCTAGCTCGTGATGGTTTCATGTAAAAATCATAATTTCTTGGATCTAAAGTCAAAGGGGCATAATGATAGGGAATCAAAGCTTGATAAACATAGGAAATCTAGCTTTCATAGTAGCTACATGTTCATTATATTTCACTTATGAAATTTCTGTAGGGAAGAATTGGCTAGACAAATATCATTGCTGTCCCTTAAGGCTTTTCATACTTAAGTTGTAGTCTTGTAATTTTCAATAATATATACATTTTTGAGATATCAATAAAATGAATTTATCATTATCCTTGTCTTATCTGATTGTATTGCTCTTGATTATTATAGTGTTGATCGATAATATAATCTGAAGACTACTATTTACAGGATTTGGCCATCTATTTGTTTGCAAAAATTTACTAACATAAAAACAAAGGAATTGGCTAAGTCGTTCAAGTAAACTATTCAGTTATTACTTAGCATAATAATCTAGCCAAGTTCAAACCTTTTTCAAATATGTTGATATTGTAGATGCTAGTGTTTAGCAAAGAATAAGCTAATAGAGCGGACATTGAGTAGTGAGATTAAATTTCAAGGACTCGTGCAACTTAAACCAAAATGTATGATCAATATGGTAGAATTCGCATGTAGTGAGTCAAGTTATTTCATAAAATATAACAAAGTAATATAAATTAGTACTGTGAACTAAACTTTTCTTCATTAGGAAGATAGAATTTAGATTTAATAGTGAAGCCTATTGGCTAACCTTAAATATTGTAAGAAGAATAAATAAGTAAAGGTGAGTATTGCCTCAGAATACTTAGATGTGATAATGAAAATAAATAACTTGTTAAAAATAACAAGGTGTACATTATTGTGAAACAGTTGATTTGCTGTTTGAATTTTAGCGTGTCGGCCTTAGTTTAGCTAAATTAGTGTGATGTTGATTATGGTGAAATAGAAGGATGATGCATAGGGTGTAATAGAAATGCTATCGGGAAAGCCTTAATGTAATAAGTAGAGATGCCAGAGGCATATTAGGTGTGATGGCATAGAGCCTTAACGCAAGAGATGAACGTGCTAAGGGCACATTAGGCATGTTGACACAAAGCTTTAACATAAAAGATGAAGGTGCCAGGGATATGTTAAGCATATTGATGTGGGCCTTAATGTAATAAAGATAAATGTGCCAAGGGCAAATTGGACGTGTCGGTAGGAAATAAGATTTATGTTAACCTATATGTCTTAACGTAATAAGAAAGGTGCTAAGGGTAGTTGAAAGTGTTGGTGCGAGATCTTAACACAAGAAATAAAGGTGGCAAAAGCACGTTGGGCATGTCTATAGGAAGTGGGATCTATGTTAGCTTATATGCAATAAGAGAGGTGCCAAGGGCACGTTAGGCTTGTCGACAGAAAGTGGGATTTATATTAACCCATATACCTTAACGTAACAAAAAATGACGCACAAGGTACGTTGAGCATGTTGATAAAAAGTGAGGACTGTGTTAACTTATATGCCTTAGTGCAACAGAAAAATGGAGCGCGAGGCGCGTTGTAAGATATAATTTTGAGAAAAGCAATAGCATGCCATCCATCTTCGTTAAGATATTTTCTTATAGAAAATTATTATAATGCCTACTTAATTAATTAATTAATAGTTGATATGTATCCAAATTTACTATAATAATTTCATCTTCCATAATTAGCCAAAGTTACTATAATGCTATCCTATCATAATTACGAAAATAACCATCATAACATAATTGATCAAAATTACTATAATGCCCTTCCAACCATAATTATGAAAATGCTTTTCTATCTTAATTGGCTTAATTACTATATATCCCTCTTACCATAATTATGAGAATACTATTCATACCATAATTGGTCGAAATTACTATAATACTCTTATTAAATTATGTATTAAATTTTAACAAGATATAAAATTAACTACATATGAAATTACTTAAATACCTTTGCCATTACTTCATGAAAATTTAACATGTGACATTTTATGAAAATTATTATAATACTCTTATTAAATTACATTTTAAATTAATTACATAAGACTTAATTACATATTAAATTACTATAGATAATAAATATATTTTTTATAAAAAATAAATATATTAAAAATAAAATTTGAAAAAAAATTATTAGCCCTAATATCAAGGGGCAAAAAACTATTGTTATTAATAAAACTAACCATTGGCTAAGAAAAAAAAAGTAAGCAGTAACACTTAAAAAAATGAAAGGTTAAAATTAAACAAACAATAAGTTGGAAACAATATTGATTTTCAATATAAATATTGCAAATTGACGAAGATAATAGAATGAAGTGCGAAAGTGATGAGTGGTATCTTTGTGGGGATATCATCGATTATGTTCATGTTTGGTGGCCTAATTGACTAATTATTGAAAACTAAAACAAAAAACTTAACAAAAGAAGTGATGCATGTAATGTTATATTTATCTCATATTAGTAAACTAACAAAGTCATTATATATCGGATTATATTAATTAATATTGATTAATGGGTAATTACTCTAGTACCTTGTTGTAATATACCCAAATAGTAATATGATTATTATTAAGTTTGATCTCGATTCAATTTTGTATTTAGACCCATAATGAGATAGGTCAATTTTGACCAAAATGTTAGAGGAGATCCTACTCTCATTTTTATATATATGAAGCAAACCTATTGAGTTTCATAACTTTCGTTTTAAGATCGAAAAGCTTATAAGGTCAGCACCATTCTGTGGACTGTAGATTAAATGGGATTGAGCTTTTACTCGTATTTAGGTCAGTTTTAGTTTCTATTAAGTTGTATTAGTAACCTCGTGAGTTTTTAGGTTGAATCCAATAGTTGACATTAGAGCCATAC